TGTCTTGCATTGTATTACAATGTATTGCAATGTGTTCCTAAATGGGAATTCTCTTGCAAACATCTCCCATCAGGTATTGACTAAACATTGATCAAGTCAACGATGTACATTGTCTTGAATTTGATCAAACGATGAATTGGGATCCTGTAAATGAGTTTTCAACAAACCGACAACTACAGAACAGAGCAAACCAAGAAAAGGAACTCAAATTGAAAAGAAATCCGCATAGTTTGATCATTTAATCCAAATCAGTTACCCATAAATCACAGATGTTAAATTGAAAGTACCAGCGATGCAGGTACATGTATATTCTTGATTTGCAAATGATCTATCTAGAACACAAACTGCAAAACATTGCAGAAAGATGAATACAGAATCATTGGGCCGGTAATATTTCGACAATCTGCAATATCAGATCTAAATATTAACAGTTGAGCAAATTGATAAGGAAGTTGTCATCTATGATTACCTTTTAAAAAGAACACCATTGTGCATGAACAAAGCTTATTTAAATACACTGAACATAATCAACAGAAACCCTCTTTTCGATATTATATTGTGAATGGATGTATTTGCTTAATTGATGAAAATATTACACACACACACAGAGAAGTAGAGAGAGAGAGAGAGAGAGAGAGAGAGAGAGAGAGAGAGAGAGAGAGAGAGAGAGAGAGAGAGAGAGAGAGAGAGAATTGTTCAATTTCAGTTAAACTTTGTTCTTTTACTACAATATTTGTGAATTTATTAGTCTGAAATGATTGAATATTTTTATCCCATAGTCTACAAATATCTAAATAAAGTTTCTAAAAGAAGCAAATTTATTTGATCGCATTCCTACATGTTTTCTTTATTTAAACCATTGGAGCGATCTTGTACGCTGTAATGGGATGGGAGAGAAACTCACTCTCTAAAGCCATCCGCTATTCAGTGTTTACCTGTTCGAGGACGTTAAAGAATCTGATATCCTATGTAATACTTCATCTCAGATTTCTAGTTCTTGTTGCAAAACTGCATTTGAATTTTTCTCATAAGTTGAATGAAAAAAGAGAGCAGTCTTTTTTTTCAGAAAAGAGATTGTGTTTAATTTGACTTTAAATGTAATCGCGATTGGCAGCGATTCTGTATGTGAACATAAGTAGAGTTGTCTAACTTGAGTAAGAATTGACTTCATTTATGCAAATTTCAAAACTCATGTTCAGGTCCAGTCCAAAATTGTATAAAAGAGTCATCTTTGAAGGGTGGTGGTGGGCAAATAAATCCCTCCCTTGTACAAGTAGGGAACAAGTAGGGAACTTGTGCTTCTTTGATAAACAGATCTGAACTGCAATGCAGACTTCTGTCTTGCATTGTATTACAATGTATTGCAATGTGTTCCTAAATGGGAATTCTCTTGCAAACATCTCCGATCAGGTATTGACTAAACATTGATCAAGTCAACGATGTACATTGTCTTGAATTTGATCAAACGATGAATTGGGATCCTGTAAATGAGTTTTCAACAAACCGACAACTGCAGAACAGAGCAAACCAAGAAAAGGAACTCAAATTGAAATGAAATCCGCATAGTTTGATCATTTAATCCAAATCAGTTACCCATAAATCACAGATGTTAAACTGAAAGTACCAGCGATGCAGGTACATGTATATTCTTGATTTGCAAATGACCTATCTAGAACACAAACTGCAAAACATTGCAGAAAGATGAATACAGAATCAGTGGGCCGGTAATATTTCGACAATCTGCAATATCAGATCTAAATATTAACAGTTGAGCAAATTGATAAGGAAGTTGTCATCTATGATTACCTTTTAAAAAGAACACCATCGTGCATGAACAAAGCTTATTTAAATACACTGAACATAATCAACAGAAACCCTCTTTTCGATATTATATTGTGAATAGATGTATTTGATTAATTGATGAAAATATTACACACACACAGAGAGAGAGAGAGAGAGAGAGAGAGAGAGAGAGAGAGAGAGAGAGAATTGTTCAATTTCAGTTAAACTTTGTTCTTTTACTACAATATTTGTGAATTTATTAGTCTGAAATGATTGAATATTTTTATCCCATAGTCTACAAATATCTAAATAAAGTTTCTAAAAGAAGCAAATTTATTTGATCGCATTCCTTCATGTTTTCTTTATTTGAACCATTGGAGCGATCTTGTACGCTGTAATGGGATGAGAGAAACTCACTCTCTAAAGCCATCCGCTATTCAGTGTTTACCTGTTCGAGGACGTTAAAGAATCTGATATCCTATGTAATACTTCATCTCAGATTTCTAGTTCTTGTTGCAAAACTGCATTTGAATTTTTCTCATAAGTTGAATGAAAAAAGAGAGCAGTCTTTTTTTTCAGAAAAGAGATTGTGTTTAATTTGACTTTAAATGTAATCGCGATTGGCAGCGATTCTGTATGTGAACATAAGTAGAGTTGTCTAACTTGAGTAAGAATTGACTTCATTTATGCAAATTTCAAAACTCATGTTCAGGTCCAGTCCAAAATTGTATAAAAGAGTCATCTTTGAAGGGTGGTGGTGGGCAAATAAATCCCTCCCTTGTACAAGTAAGGAACAAGTAGGGAACTTGTGCTTCTTTGATAAACAGATCTGAACTGCAATGCAGACTTCTGTCTTGCATTGTATTACAATGTATTGCAATGTGTTCCTAAATGGGAATTCTCTTGCAAACATCTCCGATCAGGTATTGACTAAACATTGATTAAGTCAACGATGTATATTGTCTTGAATTTGATCAAACGATGAATTGGGATCCTGTAAATGAGTTTTATAAATTTCTTTTCGGTTACATTAATAATTCTTTGGGGTAAAGGTGGTGTTCCTGGGGGTCGAACCTGGTGGCTTTGGTGTGCGGGGGAGTCGTATATGTTGATTTGGTTATCCAGTTAGTACGTATTGTGTTGGTAATATGTATTTATCTCACTTATGTGCTTTACTAATTTAGATCTCTTTTGGGGTCTATTTTGCGGCAAAATTGTATAAGGGTATTTAAACTCGTGTTTTATGTTCTTTTGTCATTCGACAAAAGTTAGCCACGACTTATCAGTTTTCCAATTTTCTTTTCCTTTTATCTAATGAAACAGAATTCTTTTGTAGATTGATGCTTAGTTTCTTTGAAGTAGATCCGATTCCTAGTCTGGAGTTGCATAGCACTTTGGTTGAACCAATACTGGGCTTACCTATGTGGAATACAACTGCTAAAATCGCTTTCGAGATTTTTTCTTTATATTCATAAATAAAAAACTGTTTTGTAGTGGTTCAGAGCTACATAGCTACATTAGCGGAAAGGTATTTTGATGTAGTGTAAACAGATATTGCTAGTACACATTTATTTTGCACAGCTTTACTTAAACAAGTCAATTTATTGTACATTATAAGTAATGACATTTTGCGTTAAGTTTGTGAGAATGAGTCCGCCATTCATTTCGTTTACCTCGCATTTGCTGCGGACTTACAGGTTTCCATAGTTTTTTCAACATCAATGTTGTTTTTTTTCTATGGTTTTTCCTGGGCGGCGAGGGAAGCATAATATTGGGTTCATACATTCATTTATGGAGGTCAAAACAAGCACATATATATATGTTCTGTGATATTTGATCAATTATTTTTATTTTTGATACATTGTAGAAGGAAGGTAAAGAGTTGGTACCATCGACGACTGTGTTTGTAAATTTATACGTGTAATAAATGCGGCAAGCAAGCGTTTCTATGTGTGGACGCACCTATGGACGCGTTAATATTTGTACCAATCAGTTTTATTAAATCTGGCTAACATTGTAGCCTTCTCTATATTTGTGTTTGAGTTGTTTTTGTATATGTAAAGAGAATATGAAATAATTTATGTTCGTCTGAGCGAAGCGAAAGAGAACATAAGAACAAAGCCACAACTGCAGAACAGAGCAAACCAAGAAAAGGAACTCAAATTGAAATGAAATCCGCATACTTTGATCATTTAATCCAAATCAGTTACCCATAAATCACAGATGTTAAATTGAAAGTACCAACGATGCAGGTACATGTATATTCTTGATTTGCAAATGACCTATCTAGAACACAAACTGCAAACATTGCAGAAAGATGAATACAGAATCATTGGGCCGGTAATCTTTCGACAACCTTCTTCATATTCATAATGCACTGAATTTATATCAGATCTTCGTATTAACAGTTTTGGAAAATTGATAAGAAAATTTGCAGCTCCATTGTCAATCTCGGACTGAAAGAAGTAGGTATAGAAAAAGTTGTGTTCTAACTCCCCACCCCCAGCCCCATGAAATAGGATTTTCGACTTTGGGGAACTTTTTTTTTTTAACTTTTTCCCCTTTTTTCTTTGCTTGTCAACTTTTTTCAGGTAAGTAAAAAAAAATTTCTCTGGCTGCCCCCCCCCCTTTCAGAAACGACGCTACGTGGCTGCATGTGGTAGTTTAAGGGTAATTAACTTTCATTGGATAGGGCAAGATATTCAGTTATTTTTAACCTTGCAAGATTTCCAGTGGGCATCATGCAAGTACATATATAACTAGAGGTACTGTGAGCAATGAGCTCACTAAATGATACCCCCCGCCTCCCATATGAATATAATGGGAGTGTGCATGATTTGTTGTGGAAAAACTCAAAATATGTGTCAGATCAAAAAGTAAAATAGGAGGTGCACAATGGCAATATGTAATAAAGATTCTGTGAAAGTTTCATCAAATTTCATTCAGCAGTATGAGAGGAGTATCAGATAAGATATGGGTACCCAAACTACTGAAGCGTAACAGACGGACGGACACACTGATTACTATATACCCTCCCGCTTTTCAAGTTGGGGGTATACTGATTAGTCCAGACATAAATGATTAGCCGTATAGAGCGGTACCGTAGCTGCAGAACTGTAACGTTATAGCTTTATATATTAGTCTTTGACTTCACAGAGCTGTCCGTTATTCACTTCTAAATGTGTGCATAAAGAACAAAAAAAATGTCCACAATATGATAAATACTTATTTTTTATCAGAAAAATAGGAAACGATGAATTGTATATAAAATTGTATATAAAAGAAATCAGGTAGCATACAGTCTTTAATGAATCAATCGTCCTATTATAGCACCATTGATGAACACACAAAATCTCTCTCTCTCTCTCTCTCTCTCTCTCTCTCGTGTTATAAATGGCAGGACGATCCACTACATTGCTCCATTTGTTCAATTATATTTAAATATATTTTCCTTTCATCGTCAGGTAAATTGATAGCCAGATTCTTAAATTCATCTTCATCAGTGTCTAAGTTGTACATTTCTTGGAAATTCTATCAATAAAAAAAATGAAAGGGAAAAATATGACTTGTAAGCATTCAACACCTGATCTTCAATAGTAGATAAATTAATAATGTGCGAAGCAGAATTATTAGTATTCAAAAACCTAGACTTCAACAGTACTTTATGAAAGACCTGCTTTTACAGTAAAGTTCTGCTGATTTCACATATATTGAAATGCACTTTTTCTTTGAAAATTTATTCAACGTACACATAGGATCGAAGCAATTGCAGTTGGGGGAACAAAAAAAAAAACACACAAAAAGGTGGGTCATTGGATGCTATTATTGAAGAGGGGGACAAGCATAAAGTAGCTAAGTTTTGAATTCTATGTATCGGCAAAATTACGGGGGGGGGGGATTTTTTTGTGAGTGAAATCTTAATGTTGCTTAAATACATTACCTCCTCATCTTTAAGTAGGCAGTATTTGACACGACGGCCTGGTTGACTGGGCGACGTAGACGGTTCTCGTTTTATTACACAGGAATAGGTATTATTCCAGGAATCCTCACAAACACAATGATTATTACAATTCTGAAAATATAAATAATAAAATGTAAATTTATAAATGTACAAAGTTCCATCTTTTAACAATCTAATTTCAAACATGGAGTTGAAACACCGGCTGATTTTCTGCGTACCGACATATTTTGATGTTTAAACTGTGGACAACCGGCTGTATTTTCATGATATTCTCCCTGGTGTTCTATCAGTATTGTTGACCGAGCCCAGGTTTTATTGGAACTACTGGAAAAGAAGGGTGTAAGAGACAGCCCGTCCATTTGTTTTGGCGTAGAGGGCACACCAGCTATATCTAGGAATGTCGGTGCTAGGTCAATATTCATCACTTGTTCCTTGGAATAAAAAAGAATGAAGTCATATACCTACAGCATACCTTTAAAAAATTGTCAAAAAATGTCATGCCAAATATAAAATTTGACTTCATTTTAAAATTTGATTTAATAAAAGACTTTTAAAAGCAAACTATGATCCTGTCAAGTTAATTTAGTACGGAAATCATCGCTGGTTGGCTCCAAATCACCTCCTTACTTTTATCATTTGCCCCGGGGACACACCTGGTCCCCGAATCATCAGCGGCACACGGACGTCAAATTCGTACAGCTGACGTTTGTCGGAAGGCATTGAAAACTGGCCTATAGTGTAAATAAAGGTTTCTCTTTAAAATGACTTTTATAATTCTGGTAAATTGGAAAATCGAATACAGCAAAATAAATTCTCACCTAAATGAAATCCATTGTCTGATGAGAAAATAATATATGTATTGTCCAGAAAATTTTTTTGTTGTAGAATATTGATAACATTTTCCATCATATCGTCAACCGAGAGCAATGTACGCCATCTACGGATACACAAAAGACTCTAAAAGTATTGAACATGCGATTATACCAATATGAAAATTATCTCGTATGTATTACACTTAACAGCCAACCCAACCTGGGGGTGGGGTGGGGGTGCACCCTCTGATATATGTAAAGCGTTTGATCATGAGAAGTGCCCACTTTCTTCCCACTTCTCACCTCAGTAGATTTAGCATGTGTAGACTGTTTTCCAAATTTTCTTGTCAGAACATTTCTGAGTTTAATTTAAGGAAAATTCCTTGATCCACCCCTTGAATTACCTGTTCCTGAATACATTATCCTCCGTCTTTACAGTGTCATTCGGTAGAGGTGTTATAGCTTGTCGGATCAGCCAATGTTTGTCCTGAATATGAAATAAAGAAAGTTATTTATGACCAAGGGCCCTCTTTGTAGTGAAGAAAACGTTTTATTTTTTCAAAAAATATATCATTAATTTTCATTATAAGGTACTTGGCATTTAACCCCAGGAAAGTCTTTAATTATTGTTGTTTATTCGCAGAGGGTAGAAAATACATGCAGTTAATGCATTCGATCTATTCATGTATCCAACAACAGGAATGCAATACCTTATTTCGTCTTTTTTGACGAAATACAGAATTGCTATTAAAATATATCAAATTTAATCCTTTATTTCAATAGTTGAGCTCAACTGAGATGAAACGTTGGTGTTACATGTACAACTGAACTGCAGAAGTTATACATGAAGACCGAAATTTTCATGCAAATTTATCAGGGGAGGGGGGGGGGGGTAATTAGTTTGACATAATTATTGAGCACTTATATACAACCACATGAAAAATTCTAAAGTCAGTAAATGTCACTATTATAAGAGTGCATATTTTCTGTCTATTAATGTGCATACTGTGTGAAAAAATTTTGAACTAGTTATTTGGAATTTCGTATTACATATCCGTGTTTATTATAGCTGCCATCCCGTGGAGCTGATTGGTTGGCAAAGTTATTTTGGTATTTAGGAGCGGGTGTAAATGGTCCGTGACAGGCGGGGGTTGACAACATCATGAAGAAGGGAGGGGAGTCAGAGCTCTGTACGTCCAGGAATGACGCGGCGTGTCTGTTCTGAAACAGGAAGAGGATAGAAAAATTAGTTATAAACTAAACTGAACTTTCCTCTGCATGAAATTCACACAAAAGACACACAGACAAAATCATTATTCTACATATAAAATAAAGCATGCCCCAAATGAGAAACTGCGAATTTATCATAGCCATAAAGTAAAAGAACAACCTTCCTTGGTAAATGTAAACTATATAATATAATGAATTAAAAAAAATATTTCATGGATTTTCAATTTTGGAATGTTCGTGCTTGGGAAAAGACTTACTTTGGAGACGTATATAATGAACCCTATATGGTCTCTTTCTGGGTCACATTTATGGACTTCCAGTGTAAAATAAACTTACAATGACGTCAGTAAGGTAGTCTTTTTGTGGGTCACTCTTATGAACTTCTAGTGTTCCATTAACAGACAAGTGGTAATTGTAATATTTAGAGTTACCAACCTAGAAAAAATACATTTTTAAATACAATTTAAAATTTACATACTTTAATATGTTATCTTAAAGATTTTTGTTCAAATTGAGTTAAATTTGTATCCGATTCTGTATACTAACGAGACCCATCCACCAGTCCCAGCCGGGAGGGACATGCTGAACCCCTCCTGCATTTGGTGTCCCATACTGAAAATAAATCTTTGATAAATCACGTTTTCATACTTTAAAATTTCGTTTTAAGCCTTCGTCAAAAAACTTCTTTAGCATCTTTTTGAAAAAAAAAATCACTTAGATTTGACTAAGATATCAACGTACATGTATATACTGAAGTACGTTAAACAATATAAGGCGAACATGAGAAATACTAAAGTGGACTGTATCTTTCCGTTCCTCGATCGTCACCTGATTAAGGTACTTTCCCGCAAAGAAGGTGGTGTAGCCCTGCTGTTTAAGGTAGGTCGGGAAGGCTTTAACTTCCTGTGTTCGCTGCCAGTGAGGACTGCTGCAGTTCCCCGCCAGAGAATTGTTTACAGCGCCATTACTGTGTACATATTTTCCTGTCAAGATGCTAGATCGACTTGGGCAGCAAAGGGGTGCACTCACATACTGTGGGTTGGAAAGTAAAACTTCATTTGCATTACAATGTATTATTCATTATTAAAGGAAGTTTATGCTTTTCAAGTTTCGTGAATCATTTTATTCCAGTAATTTGAATAAAACCTTTTTGATGATAAGAATTCCTACCATGTTCTCAAATATAATTCCTTTGTCTCCAACAAGGTTCTTTGTCTTAGCCATTGGAATCTACAACACATGTAACATACAGATAACTCTCTGTACCTCGAAGTTGCGGGACCATGGAAAACTTCAAGAAATCGAGGGTTCGAGTTTTCAAGAGTCTGAAATTTGTTGGGTTGGTTTACAAGTTTTAAAATAAGTCTTTTCTGATGACATGATTTTCATTCCTTTCCATATAGTGTTGGCCTTTTACATTTTTTTTTTAAATATTATTATTTTATTTTTAATTAAATAAAACATCGGTACTTCTTTGTACTTTTAGGTGAATATATTTTTAAACTGAAAAAAAGATTATCGTCTATTTATTCTATGTAATAGAAGCTGTACTGTGAATTTTATTCATATATTTAAAAAAAAAATAGTTAAAAACATTTATAAATTGTACAATCATGTGAAGTTTATTAAAGCAATATGAGCTGCAAGTTTGATGTCGAAAATTTTTGTTGCAATAATGTAATTGACTATTTTATGAAATGACAGAAAAAAAGAACAATTATAAACTTCTATTCTTTATATTTCAGACAGAAGAACTGTTTATATGCTGTGATTGAAGCAAAATTAATTGTCGTCCTGAACATTGAAAACAAAAATAATATTATATCTGTTTAATTTTACATATTGGTGTAAATTACATACAGATTTATCATAATAGCATATTTTAACAGCCAAATTAATTTTTCCAAAATTAAGCTCATATTGCTTTAATACTAAAGTTTTCTCGAGATAGGAAATTAAATGAACATTTATATTTTCAATCTGCTGAGTTAGCATTTAATTCTAGGAAGCAGAAGGAGCTGACATCTTTTTTTCAAGTGAGATATTTTTTTTTTCATGCCAGTCAAAGACAGATATTTATTTACAATATCAAGAACAGTATAAACTGTATAATCATTTTCTTCTTTACTAGAAAAACATTTGGCAAGCCAAAAAAAAAAAATTATGGAGGAGGGGCAAATTCCAAAATTAAACTTAGTTAATTGTTGTAGCACCAGTCAAGGACAGTATTTTTTTTTTCTTAATTGCCATCCAGCCCAGGACATGTAGATTATTTATCTGCAAAACCCAAAACTCCCTCATGCTATGTGTTTGATCAACACCACCACCCACCCTCGCCTCAGAATCATATGGTCGTTCCCTTCAAAGAAATAAAAGGTGTTCTTTCTGTGCTGTATACTTGTATCTGTATATATCAGACTCTCAACCTGACCTGTCCCATATAAAGTTATATTATCACAAAATAATAATATCATATAATTCATTATCTTTATTTCTTGTGAATTTTAATATCTTTGTAGAGATGAGTTATCTTATATCTGCATGTGCACGAAATAGACAGGTCAAAACTGCAAAGCGTAAGAAAATCGTTACAAAATAAAAAACATAGATAAAAAGCACATAAAAATAAATTTAATACATAGCATGAAGGTATGTGTATTTAAACAAAATATATACTTATTGTATATTTTTAGCCGAGAGTCACATAATTAAACTTTGGGAGGAACAAAGTTGCAGAGCAAACTGAATATACCCCATCCCACCCAACACACTCCCCAGAAAGACAGGACTTCGTGTTTAATATTGATTATTGAAATGATCTAGACATCTTTTAGTTTGGTAATGCCAGTGGCAGATTTAAGGGGGGCGCACCCGACACGCGCCTCCCCCTAAATTTGTCAAAATTAACGTAAATCACAGTTTCGTGTAGAAAATTTAAATATGTATACTTGGTAGACCCCATTTTTACCCTACAAAACCTCTAGAATCCAGGAGCTTCGCCCCCTGGGCCCCCACCAGGGCTTTGCCCTGGACCCACTGGGGGCCTCAAGGCGGCCCCCAGACCCCTTGCCTACTTCTGGTGCCCCCTCTAACTTCAATTCCTAGATCCGCGCCTGAATGCATATACCCTGATATATTATTTTTTATTAATATTTTATAATTTAAAAAACAGCGAACATGATTTTTTAATTCTCTGTTTTTGGCCAGAGAGGTGTCAGCATAACCATGATAACCCGGTTCTTGGATCTTTTAATTTTGACTGCAGAAGGAATGAAAAAAGAATGTACATGTAATTTTACCTGTCCTCCAAGTTTAACATCTTGGTCGTCTGTCAGTAGAAACACAATATTGGGTTTGCCAGAACTCCTAGCAGACACAGAGACATAGAAAACAAACAAAATCAGAAACTTTGTTTGTAACATGGTTTTAGCCATTTTGAACAATCACATGATCACCATAAGAAGATTACAGGGGCTCTTTCAAGACACGATTTAGTATTTTATGGTAGATATTATTTTGTTCATAAGAATCGATTTTTAAGTCTCTAGAAAAATTACTTAATCTCTTTCTTTACAATCTTGTAAATTTCAATTAACAGACGTACAATTTCTGAAAAAAAAAAGATATTTATGTATTTTGTAGTTTGATATAACCCATGCGTTGAAATAGTAACTCGTACACTCTTCTTAATTGTTGAAAAGTCTTGGAAGATTTACAACTATTAAAACTACGGTGGCATTTTTCACTTATTTTTAATTGAAAGCAAATAAAATAATTACAGGATGTTCAGTTCAAATAGTCTTAAAACTTCCAAATAAACAATGTCGTGATTCATATCCGAATACAATACGTACGCTTTAACATACGAAATGAAAGTTTTTTTTTCGTCATGTGACAAGAAGGTGGTTTTAGAAAGGAAAATAAACAGATCACAAGGCAGCAATTGGTAGGTCAAACATAGCATGTTATTTTTGAATCGTTAAAAAGCGTGGCACACGTTTCAATGCTTGTAACGAAAAATGAATAACCTTGTAATTGTGAAAATTATCTTTTACATCTTGTCTGCTGCACTTCATCATGTATTTTTATCTATCAGGAGAATGGATTACAAACCAGATTAAAAAATCAGATCGTAGATATGGGAGTAACTTGAAAACTGAGACGATTTTACAGAAGATGGCTACCACAGCTTCTGTAAAACCAGCCTTGGAAAGAAGAACAGACTATCTTCTTGTGGAGCCATGTTCTTTAGATGATCTTAAATCACCACTGCGTGGATCTGCTAGATTAAAGGTAGTTTATTAAAATATTCCATTGAATTTTTTCCCTAAATGATATCTTTTTGAGGAACTGTATGCATTTGTAAAATTGGATATTCAGTTAAATTGAAGCAAATATCGATCATGATAAAAGATGTTAGGTGCTTCCCATTTTCCCAAAATTATCCTTGTATGCATGTTTTGAATATTCAGTATTGTAATGACTTAATGCATTCCATTTGTCTGATGGTTATTTTATTCCTATCTGTTTGCCCATCTTTTTACATCAGCCTTTTTCATAACCAAGAAGTGATATCTTTAAAACTAATATGATGCCTGGGTCCATCAAACATTAAAGTGTAGTAATTATATATGTCCTGTGGAAATTATTAAAAGTATGCTTTTTGTCAGTTATTTTCTGAAATATTTTGTTCACTGTATTTATTTTCAGTATACCTGCTTTGATGTGTCCAGTCGGTATATTGCAGTGGGGAGCAATACAGGATCGGTGTACATCTTTGATAAGATCAGCCTGCGACATCTCCAAGTTGTTTTTACTGAAGCTGTAAGCCCTTGAAACTTCAGATTTACCCACACTCAAACCTCTTACTGGCACTTTTTTGAACTATTCTGTAATCATGACGATACTTTTTTCCATTGTATATTATCCAGATTTATGACGAATTAGTTTTTTAAACATCCCTCCACATTTGTCAGCAAAAAAAAAAAAAAATTGTTAATCTATCACATATGCCTTTATAAATAAGAAATGCACCTCTTATTTCTTTCTCTTTGGTAATATTTTTATTTATGTACTATAGTATGTACCTTTTATTGCAAGTATGCTACAAAGTTATGAATTTAATTTGCAGGAACCTTCATCAGTCAATAATGTGAAGATATGTCCCACAAACAAAACAGTAGCCTTTTCCATGTTGTAAGTATTTTCAGCAAGTCAGAAGAGTTGGGTCAATTGTCTTTGGAATATGAGTACTTATTACTAATAAATGTTTGTAATTTTGTGTGCTGCCTATCATTAAATACATAGGCATATAATAGATACCTTAGAGGACTGTACACAAGTCATATAGTACAATGTATCAACATTTGTATAAACATCTAACATGTGCTTTGATTAGAAATGTTAAATTTATGCACTTTATAGTTTAATGAAATATCATCAAAGTTTAATATCTTGTGCTTGGTTGCACAGGCTTATTGAAAATAACATCCTTGGAATATTGAAGTTAATACATGTTATACCAGTGGTTTATAAGTTTATAACTTATGAAATATTCTTGGTGATCCATTCTGAATGTTTGAGATATTGAAGCTATTAAGACAAGTAAGTATATTTTGATTGATTAGAAATGGCCATGTTCAAGTGATGGAGCTGAACATTGACAAGAGACAGAAGCCAGACAGACTCCGTGCCATTAACAACCACGTCTACAGGAATGTGAGTTGTATTCAGTGGGACGCTGGGGGACAGAAACTCTACACAGCTGATAATGGAGGCAATGTGGTGGTCTCCCTCATTCCAACTTCAAAGGTAATCAGTTAATCTTTCTTGAATTTTCAGAATTCAATGTTTGATAATAATAATTGTAAGTAAATTGACCTTTCATCACTTGATATTTCCACAGTTTGGATATATTATGTCTTCTTTTGTGTGGATACAGTATAATATTTTATTAATCTGACAACGTTAGATGAAGAACCTGGTACTGGCTCCTATTGAGGTCATCCTGACCTTGTCTGTCCCGGTCATTCAACTGGACCTGTATCAAGACAAACTCCTGGTCTCCACCCGCACCGAATGCTTCCTCTGTAACACGGCCAGGTATTTATATATCTTCATTCCATATAAAAAGTTTAGAAGTGAAAACTTCTCTCTCTCTTTTTACAGCATACAGTCTTTTTTAAAAGGAATTTTTACTCAAGACATGGATGTTCTGATTTTTATCTTTCAATTTCAGAGCAAATTATCAGCAGATAGGAACAAAACCAAGGTAATTTGGTTTAAAAAATTAAAGCATAAAGAATACATATACTTGAAAAATTCTTAATATACATTTCTAAGAAGAATGATGAAAAGTTTTAGTGATTTATTGTGCAAAGATTATTCATAAAAATAAAAAAGTATGCATTTGAACTATTTCTTTCTGCAGAGATGGGTTATTTGGAGGGTGTTTCCTTCTTGGCGGCAGCACTTCAGCAGTTATCTACTGTGCCAGACCAGGCTCTAGACTGTGGGAAGTAAGAATATCATTCTACAGTACTAAGTACTCCTTAGTTTGATAAATTTGACAATAGTTGTAAGTTTTAAATTTTTAACAAGTTCATTTTTAGAGAATTGAGCTAATTCTTGTTTTGAAAAGTACTTCCCTGTTATCAGTAACTCTTTAGATTTTTCTCTTTCCAGTATGATAAAATAGTTTTAAAAGTTTAATAGCAAAATTTCACATTTTGTCAATTAGGACCATTTGCAACAGTTTAATTTCAAGAAATAGTCTTGGCCTTTGGGAACTATAATCTTGCTACCTGCTTCAATTATATACTATATATTTCATAACAAATGTTGGCAAATTTCATCCTTGTGTAAGTTGGTTACTCTTTACGATACAAAGTTCTATAATTTATGGCTGTACATTTCAGGTGGACATAGAAGGTAATGTTCAGCATACTCATCAGTTCAAACAGTTACTGGCAGTTCCACCTACACAGATCTTACCACTCAGGTATACACATTTAGAAAGAGAAGAATATGATTTACGAATACTATTTAACTTTTTGAAATTGAAGAAATATTATTGAGGACCTAGATGAGTGTGTCCTTTCTGTTCATTGTGAAGTAATATTTCAAGAAGGAAAAAAACATTAACTAAGAAATTGTTCATTAGGTACCTACCTTAAATGTTATGTTTTCAGCTTTGCAAATCGGTAAAAAAGTTGATGGAATATATGATCATTTTCTTTGTCTTAGTGGAGATACCTTCTTAAGAATGGAAAACAAGGAGTTTCCTCCACTGGGGACAAATTTTCCAGTTTTGAAACCATATGGGTAAGTATAAATTTAGAAAGGTATGAGAATATGCATTGTCATCCGTATTGGCTGAATATCAGTAGCAGATTAATTAAGTAAACTTTTATCATAAAATGATGAATTCCTTGAAAAAATATTAATGTATACCAGTATATATATTTTTTGATTTTGCAGGGAAAGGTTTATTTTAACATGGAACAAAAGAAAGCTTTTCATACTTGATCCATTGCAAGAAAATCCAAAGGTGATTCTCTGGACTGAATTTGAAACAGGTAAAAACTAATGTCAACAAAAATTGAAATGAAGCATGATAGTATAAAATTGAGATACTGTGAAATGAGAATATATGGGGCACTACTAATTTTATCACTTTTGGGGCAAGAGCCCCTGAATGCTAAAATTAATTGTGCGCTAACAGATTTCAAAATATTATTTTGTGTGTGTGATCAAAGGTTTCACATAAGTTCATATAAACCTGAATGCGCAATTACGTATTGTCGAAGGGTAGTTGGATTTTAATATACACACTAGCACTATAGGATTGATAGAGAGAAAGTTCTTCCAAATTATAATTTAATTAAACTATTGTTAGTTGTTACCCGATACTTATCATTAGCACCTTCAAGGTTTGGCTTCTCGGCGTGTCAATCATCTCTGGCCTCGAGGTAAACAATGCAATCAAGCATGGTGATTGAGCTTTCAGACAATACCTGATTATGATTACCGTTTATCCAAGTAACTCTCTTTCGATGCATGCATTGTTTTAATGTGAATAAAATGAGTAAAACTCCACGTTTTCTTGTATTTAAAAAAAAATTAAAATAAAATTGACATTGTGCCATGTCCATGTGATTGATCACCATGGTAAAGTTAACAAATGTTTATTTATTATATATGGGAGTGCTATTGTGTTTCTGTGCTTGACTAACCAAAAAAGTCAAATACAGGCATAAATAAAAGAAAACAATATCACATTTATATATTTCAATGACAAGTGCAAGAGCTAAAATTTATTTGCTCCAATGCATTCCCACTTGCGTTTGGGCTAAAATACGTATGTGCCAAATTTTCTTGTTTTACAGTATTTTGTAGAATTATTCCAGTTTCTACACTTCATGAATATAGGATAGATGAGTAAACATTCTTCTAATATTTCAGAAATATTTGAAGTCTGTGTTCAGGGATCAGAGTTGTATATATTTTTTGTGTCTGGAGAAATGCGCAAAGTGACCTTAATGACAGTCTCTCGGACAGTATCCCTGTTGATCAGTCGTAAACTGTGGCAGTTAGCTGCTCAGGTGTGTGGGGCCTACAGCCAATCCATCCTAACCAATCAAAACCACAAAGAGCTGACCAGACATACACTCAAAGATCTCATACAGAACATCCAAAATGGCAGTCTGTCCGAAAATGAGGAAAAGGTTGTAGATCTATTTGAAAAATTTTCTGCAGAAGTAGGTTCTAGCTCTGAAACAGAGGGATCTGAATATAGTAGGAGCCGGTCAAGTTCTGGAGCTTCCATTATACGTCTGGAGTCAGGGATTTATCAGATCAAGAACTCCAGGAGCTCTGCCTCACTGGATTCATGGAATGAAACGTGGACACAGGACGAGCCCGACTCCGGGATATCGTCTCCAGCGAAGCTACCATCAGTTGTACTGCCTGGTTTAGATGCAGTTGATTCTGAAAAAGATTTTAACTTTAACCATACATTTAAAACAGATCAGGATGACACTGTTAGAAATGATGAAATCAATTTAGGATTAGAAAATGGCCAAAATAATTTTGTGTTACACGATAATATTGTTGTTAGTGATCTATCTGACTTGGAACATTCCAACTTTAATGGAGAAAACATTCCAGTGGTTGTAAATGGACAATCAGACTTAGAGCATTCCGCGATGAACAAAGAGGAATTAAATCGTCTGATACATTCTGATGATATTTTTGCTGATGATGAAATTCTATTGCCAAGAGGACCCAGTAAACTTCCTAAAAAGAAATCAGAACCAAATAGTCTTTCAAGTATAGATTATTCTCATGAACAATCAGTGCCAAAAGTGGACTTAATTGTAAATGCTGATGTGCCAAATAGATTGGTGAAGGATGGCGTATTTGATGTAGTTCCTCTACAAGACCAAGGTACATGTACATACTAAATATTCTTAATATTCTATTCTCAGAAAGTTACATTTCAGATGAACCACAAGTTTGAAAAAACTTTGTGACAGAGGAAATCATGTGGAAAAAATATATATATTGTATAGTGGAGACACATAAAATTAGTTTGGTTAGATTGATAAGAAAAATCCTCTTTTGTTCATTTATAGTGTAGATGAGTTGATAGATTTGTATATGTATTATTTAGAGACTGTTTCGGTTATATCAATGTTTATCTTTGTAAGGATTGGCCTTTTGTTACAGATATTACCCCACTCATTGTGACAAGGTCTGAACCTAATGGACAGCAGAGGACCAGTACTCGTAAGAAAGCCGTTACTGTGGATATCGACGAAGGAAAGAAAAAGTCAGGAAAACAACACAGGAGGAACTCAAGTAGGTAGATTATGTCAGTAATGTAAACAAGGTAGTTTTACCTTAGGTGATTTTAAACAAAATTAATACACTAGTAAGCAATTTTCCCCCATTTTTAATTTGCACAAAAACAGTTTGGTAAAAGAATTCTATTGTTTTTCTCAAAATTTGTTAAGTTTTAAATTTAAAAATCTTGAAATGAGGGCCAAAGGAGCAGATAAAAGGTTTGTTATATAAAGTATATACAGATTTAATTCAAAGGGCTGGGATCCATATGCAAAAGTTCAGAGTTGTGTTTAATTAATGTAAATGTGGTCATTGATTTAATTTGGGAATTTCTCTATTTTAGGGAATAAAGGAAAAGAGGCAGACTCAGGTAGGCAGTTATAATTATACGCCCGTCTTAAGACGGGACGTATTATGTTATAGGCTTCATGTCCGTCTGTCTGTCCGTCTGTCCGTCCGTCCGTCTGTTAGCTTTTCTCGTGTCCGGCTCATAACTTGAATACTATAAGGCCTAGAGTTATCAAACTTTGTCAGCTGATACATCATGGGTAGAAGGTGTGTCGCGCACAAAAAGTAGGTCGCTCTGACCTATAATTAAAAAGTTATAGCCAAATATGGAAAAATCCTGTCCGGTCCATAACTAGAAAACTATTAGACTTAGAATCATCAAACTTGGCCACTTGATGCATCTTAGGTAGAGGGTGTGTCGCGACCTATTTCAAGGTCACTGTGACCTTTAATTAAAGTGAAATTTAAAAAAAAAAAAGACTTTTTTTCTCTTCATTTACACATTCCAAAAAATGTAAAAGTATTGCACTATCCTTATTAGAAAAATGTTAAATCAAGAAAATACTTATTTTTTTTAGCATATACTTGACAGCAATCTATAACAAATGTAATGTATGTTAAAGAAATTCCACCACTCCCATGAGTTTAATTATCAAGCAGTGGTCAAGAAGAATTTTGATAACAGAAAATTGCATGTCAAATTAGAGAGAGAAATTAATGAGTTTAGTGTTCGGTGCTATCTATATCCCTTGAGTATTGGGCCAAATGGGTAATCCTGTTGAATTAAAAATAGCTCTAGTTGGCTAGCATAAGTTTTAAAATGAATTTGATGAGAAGTAAATAAAACTAATTTGATTTTGCATAATAAACTATTTTGATATTACATAATATTATGAACTTTAAAAAACTAATTTTATGGGGGTGGGGTGGAATCAGCATGTCCATATGAATTGCATATTAAAACCTGTCTGCCATTAAATAACAAAAAAAATCATTGAGGTTTTATATGTTTTAAAAATTCTTTATGGTAGATAGTGTAGATCCAATAATCTCTTGGGAGTAATGAGTAGACAAGCATCCAGTTAAAGATTAATTAATGTGTTCAATGTAGCAAGGCTATAGCTGTCTCAATCATTTCTTCAGAGCATTATCTTAACTGACAGTGTATCCTTTGGGAATTAGACAGAAGAACTGTTGGTCATTTTATATTTGATGGCCAGCCTTTTATTTTCAAAATTAATTAGGTATAGATTAGGTTGTTAAGACTAATTTGACATTGTTTAATATGATAGGCATTTGGCAAGGTCTAACACAACCAGTATAGAAATCTATGAATGATGCAATATATGTTATAATTAATGCCTACACCACAGGAGATGGATAAACAAATTTTTTAAGGAGTTGAAAAATCATGGAAATCTAAAATCAAGGTTGACATGATTTTCTTGCACTTTTAATTGTTTAAGATAATTGTAATTTTTTGACGGGCGTATCATGCTGTGGCGTGGCACTTTATTTAAATTTAGTCAGATAAATTATTTTTCAGTCATAAAAGTTGTTACACAAATAAATACTGTTCATGATTTTCAGATGTCAGAAGCCGGCGGTCTTCAGATACTTCATCCAACCTGATCTCCAATTCAGTGCTGCATGAACAATTAAATAACATTCCTGTTAGCCAATCAAAATCTCCCACTCTAAAAAGAACTGAGAGCTGTCCAGCCATATCGCTGAAAACTGGATTGATCCAGTCATCTTCTGCTACAGACTTACACTCACCATCCCATTCTCCACTGACTCAGTCGTGGGAAGAGCCCCAGGAGAGTAACAGAAGAACCTTGACCTCGGTCAAGGACAGGTGAATTTCCATTTGATTCCCAGATCTTGACATGTAAAAGTTAATGAATGTTGGTATAGAGGTGTAATATTTAATTTATTTTATTAAAATAATATTTATCTCATTGAAGAAAAGTTATTATCCCCTGCTTTCATGGAAGTGCAGGGACATTAATTTTAAGTTTCAAACACCATTTTGAGCATGCGCAGCCAGAATTCTGGTAGGCAAAGAAAATAAGCAGAGTGAGTGAGTGAAAGATTTTCTTGGTTTTTCAGCTTACAGTCTAAATTTGCAAACACAAAAATGAAAATTTTGAAAACAATTAAGGAGAAGAAAATGATGGCATCATCACCAAAGGATACAAAAGAACCATATTTACCTCAGGTCAGTGGTCTCAGATAAAATCAGTGTTGATTTTTAATTAAAGTAGCCTATTTGTAATGTTAAATGTTTTTAGTATATAACTAAAAACAAATCTTGTATAAAATTCATTAATTCCCTTTTTTGAAGAATGTTTTGTGATTTCAAGTGAATGATCATGTGTCTTTAAAAAATAAAGCTTGCAGTTTTTACCAATATTTGTGATTCTTATATTTGATACCAAGGGAAAGACTATCAACAAGTTTGTTTGAATTCATTATACTTTTTAACACTGTAGTAATATTTAAGGTTAACAAATGGTTGTAATTGGCTGTAAAATATTACAAATACATTGTATAAATTTGTTTATTACAAATGATTTTTTTATAGAAAACTTGTTTCTGAGATTAACAAATGACACTAGTTTACTTGAAAATGTAGGAAACGCTAAACATTCCTGAAGAACAAGAATTTAAGGAAGACATTCCAGTGATAGACCCAGAAAAAGAATCCTCTGTAGTGGATCTCACAGAATTTATCCAGAAAACCATTCAAACTAGGTCAAAGATGCAGGATTTCAATGTTATGCTCAACCCAGGTGCATTATGGGAGACACTTTCTGATTGGATGATACATTTGAATATCATTTTGAAGAAATTAAATACCCATAAGTGTTTAAAACTACTTCAGTCTACACATTATAAAAGATGCAAAACTCAATGCCTTACTTCAAATGAAGACAAAACTGAAACTAGTGTGGGTAATCAAGACTGTGGCATTAATGATTCACAAGTGACAGAAAATGATCAAACTCTGGTTAGAAACAGTAGTGATGTGAACAGTGAAAATGATCCTCATTTAAATCCCAGCTTGATTATGGATGATTATGAAAACATCAAATTCCAAGAGTTTTGTCACATAGAGGACCCATTTCCATTTTCAGAAGACATGCTTGTTACTGTGAAAGATTTAGCTAGAAAGTGTTTCAAATCCAAATGTATTCACGATGTTATTAATTCCGCTCAACCTGATCTTGGTGCTATTTCATTTTGTGATATTTGTTCAAACTGCTTCCAAAACAAAAAAACCAAACTCTCAGATACACATTCTGTTCCCTTGCCTTCCAATCTAAGTCAAGAAAATGAGAGAAAATACATTGATAACCAGCTGAGTGAAACAGGGGGCATTAGTTTTACTGTGCCTGATTCTGAAGAGACAGGGACTAGTAATACAGAACCCAGCCATCAAGATTCTTGTGGAGATATGACCAATATATCAGACACTGAAAATGCCAGTACAAGGAAATGTAGTACAACAATGGACTTTTGTGAACCACATGAAAGAGGAAACCTGATTGGTCAAGATGATGAAATACACACAGTGATAAGAGAGAGTGACAGTGATTTGTCAGTGTTTGTCAGGTGCTATTTCTTTCTATTGGACAAAAATGATCTCATACAGCAAGTGTACTCAAGGGAGAGCACTCTGTCTGAAGACGATAAGTTTGAAATCTGGACAGCATGGATGCTGAGTCTACATGGTAACAAAGATACATTTATCTTTTAGTTTGATGTGTATTTTAAATAAATGAACATTCATCAACTTTCAGCTTTTAAACTACAGTATTTTTTTTCTTTTAGTGAAATATAGTGAAGATTCATTGCTTTTGTTGGACAAAAAGAGCCAAGAGGAAGTCATCAGTGTTTTAAAGCTAACTAAGCATGACCATCAAAAGAATTTATTTTATGCTTACAAGTATGTATGATTGACTGAGGACTCTCCCTATTAATGTATGCAATACTTTATTATGTCATTATATAAAGTTAAAAGCAAATTTACCGGTATTTGATATTCATATACATGTGATGCAGGTGTTTGTGCAGAACTAAGACTATGGAAATTGTATTTCAGATTGTTCAAGCAATTTCCATCTGAAACTGTCTCGTGTTGTGTGACATGTGACAATATCCATCCAAAGGATATAGTGTATCTATGTCAACTTTATCACCAGAAAGAGGCTGGCTATTTGGACCAATTTATGTGTGGGAGATACAAGGAACTTAAGTCATCAAGAAGGTTTGTTACTCAGCTTACTTTTTACTGATTATTCTGAGTATGTAATGTTTACTATAATTTAGACAGGGTTATATCTTGACTATTATCACATGAACTGTATGCTCATCTCATATTGTAGGTTAAGTGATTTAAATATTGGGAAGAGAGTGATTTACACCTGGCTACAAACTTTAATGGAAAAGACAGAACATTGTAAACAACTCAGAGATGAATATGGAAAACCTTGGTAAGTTGCAGCATTCTTACATGAATACATTTATTTAGGTTATCAATAAGACAGAACAGGAAGGAATTCTATTCTCTGACCATTTTCAGGTTGTTCAGTCACTCTGTAGTGTGGGAAGATGGAGATAAGATAGACTTCCTTCTACAGACTGTCACAACAGACCACGGAGAGGAATGTTTAGAAATCTGTACAAAAGCAGGGTATGTAATTATTATTTTTGTCATATAGGAAAACATATATCCCTCATATAGGAAGATATATATATGGAGTTCTTTTATAGAAAAAAATTATTATAAATTATTACCCCCATGTGACTATTTTACGGTTTACAGTATGTTCAAATTGACCAACATCTTCTGAAGCAAGTTGATGAAGTTTAGTTCCATGTGAATATTGCATTTTTATGATATTTTTGGGAATCACACCAGTCCTGTGGTCCTATACTAATTTTGTCTTAACGAATAACTGCATGGTTAATGAATAGTTTAAGACTTTTTGTTTGTAATTGTCAAATGAATTGTTGTGCAACTCATTCTGTTCAACATCACCATCACTGAAAAAAAGCTATCAGTGACAATGATACTATACTACTAAACAAAACTTGTTCTGAAGTGTCCCATGTTCATGTACATTATATATGAATATGATCAAAAAAGTTATTTGCATGAATGAAAATCTATAGCCGCTGTGGACTACAGGAGACCTAATTATTGATTTCAACTTCTTTTACATGTACTTGTGTAATAGTTACTGGAGAGGGTGTCTGACGTTACTGAAAAGACAACAGAAGTGGAGTGAGATGGTGTCCATGATCTTTTCTTTAGGAGATCTGCAATTAATTCACGATATGGGTATGTATTGGTATCAGCAGGAAATTAATGATTTTATGAATGGAAAAAAAAATTACCTGGTAGGTGACCATTGTGATCCATTGACCTTTAGCTAGTGTTTGATTATTTTTAATTAATTTAAATAATTTATGAAGAGGGTGTGCATAGACTTTGCCTGTTGTCCAATCCTTATTGAATTATTCAATAAAGTGTGTTTAAAGTATTGATGATTTTATTTTAAAAAATAAAAAAAGGAAGAAAATCATCTGACAACTCAAACAGTTGACTCTAATTTCAGAACTGCTTCCAGAAAAAGTAGAGGAATGGAAAACATTCACAGAATTATTTCAGTCTTATTATGACGTGCATCATAAACTTCATCATCCTGAAGATGGAAAACAACAAGTTTTAGGAGAGGATGAGATCCAGAAAGATACCAGCTTACTCCCATCAGGAAAGGACTCCTCCAAACAAACACAATTGGAGCCAAATCTGCAAAAGCATGCAGAGAATAGTGAAAGTGTAGTAAACCAAAGTTCAGTCAATGAGGGCACACATAATCAAATCTCTGAAGTTAGTGAGGATAGTTTTGAAACCAATCAGCAAAATGTGGAGTCCTTAGTTAAAGAAATAGATTTACCTAATGTAAGCTGTAGTGGCCAGTGTATCTTGTGGAGTGACATAGCCTCTCTGATGCTGCGGTATATAGATGTGTCATTGTGTGTGGGTATTTTATCTGAGGTGGACATCCCAGAGGGCTGTGTGACCCAGTCTCTTTACCAGTCCAGTATCACCACAGCATTAAAACACAGGCAACAAAGGTACTCACATTTACATATCTCTTACTTTCATTAATGGAAAATGCACTATTTCTTGACTTGTTCAAATATGAATGCTATGTGAAAGTTATGTCTGTTTATGCAGAAATATGATGCACAATCTTCTAGAGAAGATAGACTCTTATCTTTGGGCCAAGAAACCAAATACACTAATGCCTGAGGTAAGTGAGCAGAAAATATAAGCATTTATTTTTAAGCTGCTAAGTTTCATATTTTCAATGTGAATATGCATGCAATAATTTTTTGATTTTATTTTCAGTTGCAGTTTGCTGTTTCTGTAGAAAGAAAATCAAAGGGATTTAAGAAGGAAAGATCCACCGACCATCTGGTAAGATCACTGTTAAACACGGTCTGACTGTCTTTGTGTGCTGGATGTTGTATGCATTCTCTGCATAAAAATACAGGTTGTAATTTACAGAGGAAATTCATTCCCAGGCAAAAACTGCAAGCTTGAACAAACTTGCAAATGGTTGCATATAGGGACAATCTCTTCTATGTTTTTGTTCGGGACTTTACTTAAAGATAACATTCATTGAGGCATGCTCTGTAATCTTAATTCATTGAAGTAAATTCAAGTAATTTTAGTTTTGGATATCATGTCCCAGAGTGATGGACATCATTTTCCATAGTTCTTTTTGTGTTAGTAGTTATTTTAATTGAAATGGCATGATTAATTAACTACAAGAAGGTAAATAAATCTTAGCAAATGTTACACTGAACAGTTATTTTACTTTTTTATAGATGGCGCTGCTGTCAGAGAAGCCAGTCACTGGAAGAAGATATCGGGAGGACTCTGAATGTCACTGGGGGATATCTACCAACATACTCAAGTGTGTATCCATAAATATAACTAAAATTAACACATTAGATATTAGATAACTTGTGAAATAAATAATGAATACTGATTTGTTTAATACCTGGTTAATAGGTGTTGTCGGATCTGTAATGTTGCATTGACAGAGAGTATCTCCCATGTAGAGCCTGGAATTCTCATGTTTGATTGTGGTAAGAATTCTCTTTATCTCTGAGCAGTAAACTCTGTGTTACAGTTACATCCATTTAGGACCGACACATTCAAAATTTTGTACCCTCTTATATTTTACTTATTTCTTTTCATTTATTTTTTTGTAAATTTATGAAATAATAATTCTTGAGAAATAGGTAAATGGAATGCATATATATTTTAAACTTGACAGATGTAAAATGCAAAATATGCCATTTTCATTATGATATGATCATTCCTTTCTTACTTGAAGGTCATGGATTTCACAAGCTCTGCTGTCAAGGACGAGTGTGCCAGCTGTGTTCATAAAGTCCTCATAAAAACAGTTCAACCCTTTTTCCAAATAATTTTTTTTTTATTGTATATGTATATTTACAAAGTTTTAAAGATAAAAGGCATTAAAAAAAAATTAATTTTACAGTTGGGCAATTTCCAAACCATTTTAAGATTTCAGTCATATTCAGTATCTATGAATTGTACATAGTACCAAGGTAATTCATATTTTAAACATATAGTATCTGTCATTCATATAACATTTGAAACATTCCTGTCTATTGCCTTAACTGTTAATTACTTTGTTTTTTATGTTTCTTATTCATGAATGTTATTTGTTCATAGATGATGTTTTATTTGCTTTAAAGTGCAATATTGTGACAGAGTTGAAAAGGGTTCCTTTCTCACAAGCATGTAAATTTGCTTTATGCTGGCTCATTCATGAATTTAATTTGAAGAAATGTAAATTATTTAATTCTCCTTAATATTTTTTTGTTTGTCCATTTAAGTTTGTTATTTTAGAATGCATACTGTTATGTGTTATCTTTTATCCAGTGGGTATCACAAATTGGATATTTATTTATTTTTCATAATTCACATTCTGTATTCCATGGCATTTGTAATGTCATAAAACAAATATACTGTATATTACAGGGTTATTTTTGCCCTGTTTTATTTTTACACCTATTGCCCTTCTCAAAGGTGGATAAATTTTAAGTAGGGTGAATTAAATAAACACAGTATAATTTCTTAAACAGAATTGTGACTGTGCAAATTTAAATTGGGGCAAAATTATTTGCAGGTGTGAAAGAGCAAAAATATAAACACTGTATACATTATGCATGTACATTTGTAATCATTGAAGTTGATCAGGGTTAAAGGTAAAATTCAAAATTATTTGAACACTATAAGTTCACACATTACTTTAGAGGTGGAATTATTAGTATGCAGTTTGTGATAAGATACTGTATAAGCAGAATTTTTAGTGAGGATTTAATTTTGGCATTATTAGCAAGGGTGCCAAGATCACTAAAATTGAATATCACTAAAATTAATTGCGATTTATTTGTAATAACTTCTTTAGTGAGCTTTTTAAAATCGCTAAAACTGCATCTCGCTAAAAATTAAAAAACATTTTTAAAGGCCAAATCGCTAAATTTGCGTCTCGCTATTATTTCCACTTACACGATAAATTTATCTCACTCGATGCTTTTTATATCTTTGATAGAGGGCCAGGGAGAGAAAACAACCAACTTGTAAAAATCGTGAACATTCACAAACTATGGGAGATCCTAATACTGTAAATGTACACAAAATGGCACGATAAAAATTGTAATGCAAGTGTCCTCCAACACATTATTGCACTCATAAATTAGCCAAACCATAATGTAAACAACATGTATTATTTCAACTTAATAAATCATGACTATAAATATGAATACCATTAAAATGAGTACATTTACATACATATTTATTTATAGTTCAATTTTAATCAATTTTGTTGGAACCAAAGATAATTTGATTATCCTAGCGGGCATTGACATTATTGATTATAATGGTTAAAGAAAATTTGGTTAGAACACTGGTACATGTAGCTTAAGGTTGACAGAATTGTATTTGTACCATAATTATTTTAATGCTGTGAGGTACATATTACACTGTAGACTTACTTTTTTCCAAGCAGAAATCATTTCTATATACACAGCATACTTAAAATTCATGAAGGCCAACTAATGACAATATAAGAAATCTGTGTAATTGTCTACTTGTCGATTCAGCAGAAATTGATTTCAAAGAATTTGTTCCCAGTGGAAAAAAGTACACTTACAATATGTTGACCAATATATGGAAACTTGATTTATATTTGTCTTCCCTGTAGTCATAAAAAACATATCAGAAATTTTAACAATTGTTTATTATGAACAATCAGCTTTGTATATATATAATACTCATTTGGAAATAATATACTTTTAATTAATGTCTACTGCTTATAATTTTTTTAAATGTTACTTTTAATGGTACATTAAACAAATTCAAATGGATTAATTTTGTTTCTTCATTGTATATTTCAATTGCTTTTCTTAACTTCATGTACTTGTATATCATAACGTACATGAATGTCTTTAGAATGTCTGAGTTTTGAATTCTCCACAATGTAATTGACTGTTGGAATCCAAACGTACACATGTACTCAAATTCAAATCGACAACTGTTAAAGAATATCTTCCATATTTGTCCTCTCCACTGATAACTATTAAATGAGAGCTATTTTAAAAATTCAGTCCAACTTGACTGATAAATTTAATCTCCTTGGAACTTCTTGTTGCTGATGCACCTTGTATAAAGTAACAACTATACAGGTTCCCTAGGTGTTACTATGCAAGACATTGTAGGATCACAATTCAGAGTTGTATGATAGATCCTCAGAAAATGCCCATACATCCATGACCACTGAACTAGCTGCTACCCTGTCTCCATCTTTGTGGACAAGAAGTGTAAAAATAGGGAAGTGGAATTGTTTGGTCACACAGATATGTTCCTGTCTTTGGTCAGCAATGCTAATGTTTTATGTGTTATTGACCTGCAAGAGATAGAAAATGTAAGAGGACAAAACATGGTTAAGGCCAAACACAGCACATCATATAATAATATATAGAAATAAGTCCATAATGGTATATTTGAATTGCAACATAATAAGAAAGTCAGAGATGATAGTAAAATACAAACTAGAAATATGTCCATAGGACATGAATGCCCCGCCGAGTGTATATTAGTAATGCAACATGAAAATTTGTTTTAGTGTATGAAATTTGACCAGAATATCTTGAATAGTGATGCAGTTGAATTGCATACATCAGTATGTATCAGCATATAAAGTTTGATACTAATTTCATTAATATGAGGTCAAGGTCAAAGGAAATGTCAAGGTCAATAAAGTGCCACGCCACAGCATGATACGCCCGTCAAAAAATTAACTTAAATGGTTTAGAGTGCAAGAAAATCATGTCAACCTTGATTCTAAAATTTCCATAATTTTTTCTATTCCTTAAAATATTTGTTTATCCATCCCCTGTGGTGTAGGCATTAATCATAGCATCATTGATAGATTTCTATACTGGTTGTATTAGACCTTGTCAAATGCCCATCATATTAAACAATATCAAATTACCGGTAGTCTTAACAACTTAATCTATACTAAATTAATTTTGAAAATAAAAGGCTGGCCATCAAATGACATATGCTATTTCAACTGACCAGCAGTTCTTCTGTCTAATTCCCAAAGGGTAACAGATAAGAAGATGCTGGCTAGCCTTCCTAAATTGAACTCATTAATTAATCTTTGACTGGATGCTTGTCTACTCATTACTATAGATGAATGAATCTGAACTCTCTACCATAAAATATTTTTAAAAATATATAAAATACTCAATGATTTTTTTTTTAACATTTAATGTCAGAAAGATTCTAATATGCGATTTCTATGGAAAATGGACATGCTGACTTCAATCCTATGAAATTAGTTTTTTAAATTAATAATATTATATAATATCATATCAGTTTATTATACAAAATGAAATTAATGTTAATTACTTTTCATCAAATTCATTTTAAAACTTAGGCTAGCCAACACGAGCTATTTTTAATCCAACAGGATTACCCATCTGCCTTAATTCCCAAAGGGATATATATAACACAGATGCTCTCCAGTTAGCTCCTCACACTAAACTCATTAATTTCTCTCTAATTTGACATGCAACTCTCTGTTATCAAAACTCTTGACCAGTGCTTGATAATTACACTCATGGGAGACATGGGATTTCTCTAACATACATTAATATATTTGTTATAGATTGCTGTCAAGTATATGCTGAAAAAAATAAGTATTTTATTGATTTAACAATTTTTTAATAATGATACAACTAAAAATTTTAATTTTTTATAATTATGAAATTCAAAATTTAAAAAACTTAGTTTTTTTAAAAAATTCACTTAAATTAAAGGTCACAGTGACCTTGAAATAGGTCGCGACACACCTTCTACCCAAGATGTATACATTTCCCAAGTTTGATAGTTCTAGGTCTAATAGTTTACTAGTTATGAGCCGGACAGGATTTTTCCATATTTGGCCATAGCATCTTAATTAAAGGTCATAGCGACCTACTTTTTGCGCGCGACACACCGTCTTCCCAAGAAGTATCAGTTGACAAAGTTTGATAATCCTAGGCCTAATAGTATTGAAGTTATGAGCCGGACAGGAATGGACAGACAGACGGACGGACGGACGGACATGAAGCCTATAACATAATACGTCCCATATTAAGACGGGCGTATAAAAACTGTTGATGCAGTTGTAAAGCTCTCATCATTGTGTAACAGCATATGAAGTTTGAAACTGATTTAAGAAAAGTGAGGTCAAGGTCAAAAATTTGATGCAGTTTCATATGTCTCATCAATATGTATCAACAAATGAAGTTTGCTAAAAATATCAAGAATTTCTTTAATTAAAACTTACTTTAACACAATTTGATAAAAGTGAGATCAAGGTCAAAGAAAAGGTCATGGTAAAAATGTCAATACAGTTGAATTGCTTACATCAGTATGTATCAGCATATGAAGTTATTTACACTGATTTAGGAAAAAAAGAGGTTAAAGGTCAAAGGAAAGCTCAAGGTCAAAAATGTTGATGCAGCTGAATTGCTCTCATCAGTATGTAACAGCATATGAAGTTTGATAAAAATATCTTGAATGGTATCTTTAAAACTGAGCTAAACATTAAATAAAGATAAGTGAGATCAAGATCAATGGAAAGGTCAAGGTCAAAAATGTTAATGCAGTTGCATATCTCTCATCAATATGTATCAACATATGAAGTCTGATAAAAAAAGTCTAGAATGGTATCTTTAAAATTGAGCTTAATGCTAATTAAAGATAAGTGAGGTCAAGGTCTAAGGAAAGGTCAAGGTCAAAATGGTGATGCAGTTGAATAGCTCTCATCAGTATGTATCAACATGTGAAGTTTGATAACATCATCTTGAACAGTATGTTTAAAACTGAGCTAAACAGTAATTTAAGAAAAGTGTGGTCAAGGTCAAAGGAAAGGTCAAGGTAAAAAAATGTTGATGCAGTTTCAGAACTCTCATCAATATTTATCAGCATATGAAGTTTGATGAAAATATCTTGAATAGTTCTTTGAAACTGAACTTTGAACAGAGCTAAATGCAAAGTACTGTATAGCAGGTTGAAATCGTGGTCGGAAAAGATCGCGCTTTGTTCAATTTTCAGCAGAACGCGGTCGTTTGAATTCGCGGAAAGATAAAAAAAAAATACAATTTTTAAACAGTAATAACAAGCATGTTTCTTTACGTATATATTGTGTGAACTGTTATTTCCAGTCTCTATCTTACGAAAGTCTGTTCATGTATATCGCGCATATCAGTCAGGAAAGGCAAGTCTATGTATTGTGTCAATTTTGAGCCTGATTGAATAATAACGAAGACGGACTGGTCCCAATTTGAAGTCAAAATAATGTTGAGCATTCACAATTTTTTAATTTCCGAGTCCAAATAAAAAATATATATACAGTAGTCAAATTGTTGAACTTTTAATCATATAATTGAAATAAATTAATTGTCTTTACCCTGTTTACTACGCAAGTGCCATGATTAAAGGTAATGACTGAGTGATTCACACGGGTGAAATTATACAAGCTTGTTTTGTTAGATAATTATATTGCATGTCTACTAGATGGCAAAATTACCATAATCGTTAGCTATAGAAATTAATTTAACAATCTATAAGCTTTAAAAACACCAACAACTACGTGTTTGTGATTGATCCATACAGTGATACACTCGCATAATTATAAAGACTGTCTACATCTAATCACAGATGATAATAAAAATTCAGTTTATCCTTATAAATCTTTTCAAGAATTTATTCACTGTATGTTGAATTCGCGGAATTTCTTTTTCCGCGAATATAGCGAATATTAACTCCGCGAGTTATTTTCCTGCTGTACAGTATATGGAAGGACAGACGAAAGCATGGAAGGACAGAAAGACAGAAGACAGACTTGACAAACACTATATGCCCGGCCATATTCATGGTGGGGCATAAAAAAGTTAAGCTAATCAAGGTTAACATCTTAAAATAATGGGAGTGACAAGATTGTTACAGATCATGATTATTGTAAAATTTAAACATGAGTGTAAAATTGTCATCTTTTCTTTTAATATGACAGTTGTTCAATATCCAAACACATTTTTAATACTAATTAAGAGAAATAAACATGTGAACAATAGTTGGTAAACAAATAAGCATTAATACCAATTGATTGGTTTACTAAAGTTGAAGAAATCTAATTGTTTTAAGAAATTTTATTTTCACAAAACCAAAAACACAAGAATTTTCAGAATTTGACAATGTTGGGGCCATAACACACACTGTGAGTTTTCATTTCAAGTTTGATCCACAATTATAGAGAAAATAAATTGCAAACCATCAATTTTTTGACCAAAAAAATGTAGAAAGAATGGCATTGTATTTCCCTGGGAAGTCAAAATGAACATACAGTCAAACCAAATGAGTCCAAGTAAAACCTTCATATTAAAAACTTCAAGATATCTGAGGATATGAGATACTGAGGGCAAAATATTTTACAAATAAATGATTCTGACTTAAAAATCATTTCAATGTATCTATGGTATTTGAGATAGTGTTCAAGATAGTGAAATTCAACTATAGTTCATCATTGATTGATACTTATCTTCAACAAAGTAAAAATTTTCTAGAATTATGTTTTTACCAAATTAGTTACTGTAGTTTCAGTGTGTGAGCATCCCTACCTCATGGCATATGTAGGTATACTGTCACTGTACAACACCAACAGTTGGTGAGGCCCTGACATCAACGCATAACATTTGTGAGTTTCCGTGGTGATGTAAGACTCCATTGCCTGGTGACTGAATTCTGAGGGACCTAGTCAGTAGAAAAATCAGTCATCATTTACAGTCAGCTATTATTTGAAGCAACCATTGTAAGGAATATGTATTCAAAATTTCAAAACCATCTGATATCAGAAGTATAAGAGAAGATGTTTATGTGTTAACACCTGAATCACTGCCGGGGACCACTGAGGAGAAGAATGTCCCCACCATCCTCTTGTAGAATGACTTCAGCACCTCTCTTCTCTGGGAGCTACTCAAAGTTTCATCTGTAACATTATATATGTACAAATATTCACGAAGTTGAACTACAGTATATTCTGTAAATTACTTTTTTATTTACAAGAAATTTATTTTTACAAAGTAGCATGCTTGCAGTAAAATTTATTTTCACATATATTTTCATTACAACAATGACCAAAATTCATGAAAATATTGGGTTGCTTAAGAAAAACAAATACCTACAGTGTATCTCAAGAAAAAGAACAGGTTGCAAAAATTCTGTAGCTCTACAGTACTTATTACCTAACAAAGGCCTGTACTCCACTTACTCTACTGCTAATTTTTTTTTTCAATTTTGAAAGGAGGAAATTACGAGTCGCTACATACCTGGATGTGCTCCACTGAAGGTGGGGTTGATGCTACAGAGACAGCGGTTGGTTTCTTTGTTTATTAACAGGAATCTATAACAAAATAAAATCAGCAATCATCAGATTTTTGTATCCATTTTGGACACTAGAAAGTATGTATAACTGATAGAATTAAAAAACCTTGAACAGGGAAAAATTAAAGAAACTACTGGTATAACTGATTAGTGTCTAAGACTTACTTTAGAGTACCCTACCCTAGAGTGTTGTGATCTAATGCTATGTTGGCTGGGACCTACCCTAGAGTATTGTATCTAATGCTATGTTGGCTGGGACCTACCCTAGAGTATTGTATCTAATGCTATGTTGGCTGGGACCTACCCTAGAGTACTGTGATCTATGTTGGCTGGGACTTACCCTAGAGTATTGTGATCTAATGCTATGTTGGCTGGGACCTACCCTAGAGTATTGTGATCTAATGCTATGTTGGCTGGGACCTACCCTAGAGTGTTGTGATCTAATGCTTTGTTGGCTAGGACCTCCCACAGAGTATTTTGTGATCTAATGCTATGTTGGCTGGGACCTACCCCAGAGTTTTGGGATCTAATGCTATGTTATCTGGGACCTATCCCAAAGTATTGTGATCTAATGCTATGTTATCTGGGACCTACCCTAGAGTATTGTATCTAATGCTTTGTTGGCTAGGACCTACCCCAAAGTATTGTATCTAATGCTATATTATCTGGGACCTACCCTAGAGTATTGTATCTAATGCTATGTTGGCTGGGACCTACACCAAAGTATTGTGATCTAATGCTATGCTGCCTGGGACCTACCCCAAAGTATTGTGATCTAATGCTATGTTATCTGGGACCTATCCTAGAGTGTTGTGATCTAATGCTTTGTTGGCTGGGACCTACCCCAAAGTATTGTGATCTAATGCTATGGTATCTGAGACCTACCCTAGAGTGTTGTGATCTAAAGCTATGTTGGCTGGGACTTACCCTAGAGTATTGTGATCTAATGCTATGTTGGCTGGGACCTACCCTAGAGTATTGTTATCTAATGCTATGTTGGCTGGGACCTACCCTAGAGTATTGTAATCTAATGCTATGTTGGCTGGGACTTACCCTAGAGTATTGTGATCTAATGCTATGTTGGCTGGGACTTACCCTAGAGTATTGTCATCTAATGCTATGTTGGCTGGGACCTACCCTAGAGTATTGTGAATCTAATGCTATGTTGGCTGGGACCTACCCTAGAGTATTGTGATCTAATGCTATGTTTGCTGGGACTAACCCTAGAGTATTGTGATCTAATGCTATGTTGGCTGGGACCTACCCTAGAGTGTTGTGATCTAATGCTATGTTGGCTGGGACCTACCCTAGAGTATTGTGATCTAATGCTTTGTTGGCTGGGACCTACCCTAGAGTGCTGTGATCTAATGCTTTGTTGGCTGGGACCTACCCTAGAGTGTTGTAATCTAATGCTTTGTTGGCTGGGACCTACCCTAGAGTGTTGTGATCTTATGCTATGTTGGCTGGGACCTACCCTAGAGTGTTGTGATCTAATGCTTTGTTGGCTGGGACCTACCCTAGAGTGTTGTGATCTAATGCTTTGTTGGCTGGGACCTACCCTAGAGTGTTGTGATCTAATGCTGCGTTGGCTGGGACCTACCCTAGAGTATTGTGATCTAATGCTGCGTTGGCTGGGACCTACCCTAGAGTATTGTGATCTAATGCTATGTTGGCTGGGACTTACCCTAGAGTGTTGTGATCTAATGCTATGTTGGCTGGGACTTACCCTACAGTATTGTGATCTAATGCTATGTTGGCTGGGACTTACCCTACAGTATTGTGATCTAATGCTATGTTGGCTGGGACCTACCCTAGAGTATTGTGATCTAATGCTATGTTGGCTGGGACCTACCCTAGAGTATTGTGATCTAATGCTTTGTTGGCTGGGACTTACCCTAGAGTGTTGTGATTTAATGCTTTGTTGGCTGGGACCTACCCTAGAGTGTTGTGATCTACTGCTATGTTGGCTGGGACCTACCCAAGAGTGTTGTGATCTAATGCTATGTTGGCTGGGACTTACCCTAGAGTGTTGTGATCTAATGCTATGTTGGCTGGGACCTACCCTAGAGTGTTGTGATCTAATGCTATGTTGGCTGGGACTTACCCTAGAGTGTTGTGATCTAATGCTATGTTATCTGGGACCTACCCTTGAGTGTTGTGATCTAATGCTATATTGGCTGGGACCTACCCTAGAGTGTTGTGATCTAATGCTATATTGGCTGGGACTTACCCTAGAGTGTTGTGATCTAATGCTACATTGGCTAGGACCTCCCACAGATTATTTTATGATCTAATGCTATGTTATCTGGGACTTACCCTAGAGTGTTGTGATCTAATGCTATGTTATCTGGGACCTACCCTTGAGTGTTGTGATCTAATGCTATATTGGCTGGGACCTACCCTAGAGTGTTGTGATCTAATGCTATATTGGCTGGGACCTACCCTAGAGTGCTGTGATCTAATGCTTTGTTGGCAGGGACCTACCCTAGAGTTTTGTAATCTAATGCTTTGTTGGCTGGGACCTACCCTAGAGTGTTGTGATCGTATGCTTTGTTGGCTGGGACCTACCCTAGAGTGTTGTGATCTAATGCTTTGTTGGCTGGGACCTACCCTAGAGTGTTGTGATCTAATGCTTTGTTGGCTGGGACCTACCCTAGAGTGTTGTGATCTAATGCTGATCTAGAGTATTGTGATCTAATGCTGCGTTGGCTGGGACCTACCCTAGAGTATTGTGATCTAATGCTATGTTGGCTGGGACTTACCCTAGAGTGTTGTGATCTAATGCTATGTTGGCTGGGACTTACCCTACAGTATTGTGATCTAATGCTATGTTGGCTGGGACCTACCCTAGAGTATTGTGATCTAATGCTTTGTTGGCTGGGACTTACCCTAGAGTGTTGTGATTTAATGCTTTGTTGGCTGGGACCTACCCTAGAGTGTTGTGATCTACTGCTATGTTGGCTGGGACCTACCCTAGAGTGTTGTGATCTAATGCTATGTTGGCTGGGACTTACCCTAGAGTGTTGTGATCTAATGCTATGTTGGCTGGGACCTACCCTAGAGTGTTGTGATCTAATGCTATGTTGGCTGGGACTTACCCTAGAGTGTTGTGATCTAATGCTATGTTGGCTGGGACCTACCCTAGAGTGTTGTGATCTAATGCTATGTTGGCTGGGACCTACCCTAGAGTGTTGTGATCTAATGCTATGTTGGCTGGGACTTACCCTAGAGTGTTGTGATCTAATGCTATGTTGGCTGGGACATACCCTAGAGTGTTGTGATCTAATGCTATGTTGGCTGGGACCTACCCTAGAGTGTTGTGATCTAATGCTATATTGGCTGGGAAGTTCCTGGAACTCAGCTTCAACACAGATCTCAGGGAATCATAGGAGGGCTTCCAAAATCTCAGTATCTGTAAACCAGCATAAAGAGATCTATCAATCACAGCTTTATACTGTGTAAAAAGTGCATCTTAAAATGTATATCATTGCATATGTATCCTTCCTCCCCAAACTATGTTGCATTACAATCTTCAGCAAACAAAAAAACTTCACAGTCACGGGCTTCAGTGTCTAATTAAGGAATACATCAGAAGTGGCAAGGGGACACATTGTAAGAACCAACAGTAAATATAACCTCTGGTTCTAGTTCAAGAAGTGAGGAGATATGACTAGAGGACAGATTGTTATTAAGGTATGTCACTCGTGAAATTTGTTAAATCAAGGATTTTTTGAGAAGTATATTTTGGATAAGTACTCATATTGAGTAACTCAAAATCGCAGAGAAAATAGGGGGTCAGTGTTCATCTAACTGATCTACGGTACAATGAAGTTGACCTTTTTTGCACTTAAATTTCAAATCTTTGGTTAATTGCTTTAACCTTTATCATATTTTAGCAGATGTAATAATGGTAATAAATATGATTTTATTTTATGTAAAATACTTTGAATAATATTTATCATTGAACAAGTCTTGCAAATTAATGCGCGTTAATTATTGTGTGACCTTTTTGCACTAAAAAATAACATATTTTGGGGTATTATAAAACTGAATAGGGAATAAATCATTTTCTTAAATCAAGCTTTTTACGACTTAAGTGCTGATCAGTAACAAGTATCGAGTACTTTAAAATAATGAAAGAAAAAGTTGGGGTCAGTGATGTTGATTTTGAAATATGGGTCAAAATGTGCGATTTTCAGGCGAAAAACGGTGTAAATTTTATCAAGACTTATTTGACATATCTTCATTTTTTGGCAAAAATTCTTGAAGGAAGGTGTAAAACTTGTTATAAAAATATGAATTAAGACCAATATTAAACATTCATAGCAATATCTTGCTGGAAAATATTCTCCGAGTAAAAGTATGTGAGGCTATAAAGATCCAAGATATTAAATTTAATAAATGTGCAGATTTGCAGAAATATCTGCTAAATTTCCTTCCACCACAAGAAATAGTCCCTCATAAATATTGCTTCTTTGTAGTTTTTTGAGCAGTTTTTTCGTTGAATGTTAAAACATTAACATTGTTGAAATTAGATATGTTATAATAAATAGATTTGAAGTAAGAGGGTCTGCGCTAACTTTTCTAAAATGCTGACGAGTGACATACCTTAAACACTACCTCCAGTTCTACTTCTGTAAGTGAGGGGGAGATAACTAGGAGACAGATTGTTAGTAAATACTACCTCTGGTTCTAGTTCTGTAAATGAGGGGGAGATAACTAGGAAACATATTGTTAGTAAATACTACCTCTGGTTCTAGTTCTGTAAATGAGGGGAAATAACTAGGAGACAGGTTGTTAGTAAATACTACCTCTGGTTCTAGTTCTGTAAGTGAGGGGGAGATAACTAGGAGACAGATTGTTAGTAAATACTACCTCTGGTTCTAGTTCTGGAAGTGAGGGGGAGATAGGTAGGAGACAGATTGTTAGTAAATACTACCTCTGGTTGTAGTTCTGTAAGTGAGGGGGAGATAACTAGGAAACATAGTGTTAGTAAATACTACCTCTGGTTCTAGTTTTGTTAGCGAAGGGAGGATAACTAGGAGACAGGTTGTTAGTAAATACTACCTCTGGTTGTAGTTCTGTAAGTGAGGGGGAGGTAACTAGGAAACATACTGTTAGTAAATACTACCTCTGGTTCTAGTTTTGTTAGCGAAGGGAGGATAACTAGGAGACAGGTTGTTAGTAAATACTACCTCTGGTTGTAGTTCTGTAAGTGAGGGGGAGGTAACTAGGAAACATACTGTTAGTAAATACTACCTCTGGTTCTAGTTCTGTAAATGAGGGGGAGACACCTAGGAGACAGACTGTTAGTAAATACTACCTCTGGTTCTAGTTCTGTGAATGAGGGGTAGATTACTAGGGGACAGGTTGTTAGTTAACACTACCTCTGGTTCTAGTTCTTTCAGTGAGGGGGAGATAGGTAGGAGACAGATTGTTAGTAAATACTACCTCTGGTTCTAGTTCTGTAAGTGAGGGGGAGATAACTAGGAAACATATTGTTAGTAAATACTACCTCTGGTTCTAGTTTTGTTAGTGAAGGGGAGATAACTAGGAGACAGATTGTTAGTAAATACTACCTCTGGTTCTAGTTCTGTAAGTGAGGGGGAGATAACTAGGAGACAGATTGTTAGTAAATACTACCTCTGGTTCTAGTTCTGTGAATGAGGGGGAGATAACTAGGAGACAGATTGTTAGTAAATACTACCTCTGGTTCTAGTTTTGTTAGTGAAGGGGAGATAACTAGGAAACATATTGTTAGTAAATACTACCTCTGGTTCTAGATCTGTAAATGAGGGGGAGATAACTAGGAGACAGGTTGTTAGTAAATACTACCTCTGGTTCTAGTTCTGTAAGTGAGGGGGAGATAACTAGGAGACAGATTGTTAGTAAATACTACCTCTGGTTCTAGTTCTGTAAGTGAGGGGGAGATAACTAGGAGACAGATTGTTAGTAAATACTACCTCTGGTTCTAGTTCTGTTAGTGAAGGGGGAGGTAACTAGGAAACATATTGTTAGTAAATACTACCTCTGGTTCTAGTTCTGTAAGTGAGGGGGAGATAACTAGGAGACAGATTGTTAGTAAATACTACCTCTGGTTCTAGTTTTGTTAGTGAAGGGGAGATAACTAGGAAACATATTGTTAGTAAATACTACCTCTGGTTCTAGTTTTGTTAGCGAAGGGAGGATAACTAGGAGACAGGTTGTTAGTAAATACTACCTCTGGTTCTAGTTCTGTAAGTGAGGGGGAGATAGGTAGGAGACAGATTGTTAGTAAATACTACCTCTGGTTCTAGTTCTATAAGTGAGGGGGAGATAACTAGGAGACAGATTGTTAGTAAATACTACCTCTGGTTCTAGTTCTGTAAGTGAGGGGGAGATAACTAGGGGACAGATTGTTAGTAAATACTACCTCTGGTTCTAGTTCTGTAAGTGAGGGGGAGATAACTAGGAGACAGATTGTTAGTAAATACTACCTCTGGTTCTAGTTCTGTGAATGAGGGGGAGATAACTAGGAGACAGATTGTTAGTAAATACTACCTCTGGTTCTAGTTCTGTAAGTGAGGGGGAGATAACTAGGAGACAGATTGTTAGTAAATACTACCTCTGGTTCTAGTTCTGTAAGTGAGGGGGAAATAACTAGGAGACAGATTGTTAGTAAATACTACCTCTGGTTCTAGTTCTGTGAATGAGGGGGAGATTACTAGGGGACAGGTTGTTAGTTAACACTACCTCTGGTTCTAGTTCTGTAAGTGAGGGGGAGATAACTAGGAGACAGATTGTTAGTAAATACTACCTCTGGTTCTAGCTCTGTAAGTGAGGGGGAAATAACTAGGAGACAGATTGTTAGTAAATATTAGTAAATACTACCTCTGGTTCTAGTTCTGTGAGTGAGGGGGAGGGTCCACAGATGACCACAACATCTACTCCCCGAGTCAGCTGGAATGTCATCAGTCGGTGGGGTACCTGTGTGTAAAGCAGGAAAATAAGTCATCAAAATCTAACCAGTCTGTATTGATATCATATTTTGTGACTCCAAAGTCTGTGCGAGCCCAGTCAGAGTTACTTCTGTAGATTTTTTATTTTTCACGAGTACTTATTATTGCAAAAAGCCTATTCAACATCAAATCGAGAGGATAATAATTCATGAATGGACGGTTCATCAAAAGATTTAACATTGTTTTTAACATCATAAAAATAAAAGCAAGTAATTTTATTTCCAGAGTGGTGCATCTCACGAAATTAAGCAATAATTAATTCCAAGTGTATATTTAGGAATTTTAAGTAGGCAAAGATATCATTCAGGCATATTTTGATTTTTCCGATTTTCAATCAAAAAGCTATAGATATAGCATCCCTTACACATTTAGTTACTGTAACAATATTTGAACCTTTAACCTCAATCATATATCCAATTTGATCAACATTAATCAAGAGGAGAAAAGAAAGCCTGTTTTATTTGTATAACAGTGTGACACTGACTGTGGGGTGGTTGTCTGGGAGGTACACCGGGATGTCCCTGGATGTACACGCCGTCAGGGAGGATAACAGGAGAGACAGTAACACCAGCTCATTGGCCGACAGACTCCACCATTTCTTTGTTGCCACAGCAATTTTACCATCAATGAACAAGCAACCATACACACTTTCTGCTGCTTCAGTGAAAGCATCCAAGAAATTCTGATATAAAAAGCATGAAAATGTTACATAGAATTAATCATTCTAGAGAATTTATCAAGTGAAGCTGAATGTGGCAGAATGACACACCTGTAACACAGCATTCTCTGGAGCTGCTATTGTCTCCGCGGTGTTAGTCAGCTGACTGAATCCCCAGGTTCCCATAATCCCAAGGATCCTGTCCACCAAATTATAGCATACCTAAGGAAGATGTCCAGTATACATTTTATTGAAAAGTGGAAAGATCCTACCTTTCTTCACAACTGAATAATATTTTTATTTAATATATATTTACATACTGTGGTTTCATCAATATTCGTTGAGCACCAATTTTCGAGGAATTTGTTGTTGTACAGATCCACAAAATTAAATGTTTAATGAATTGAGAAATAATGCATTTGTCCAAGAAATTACATATCCTCAAAAACGTCTGTTTTACAAAATCCCTGAAAATTGATGAAACCACAGTATTTATGGTTTTTAGATGTTGTAATTTACTTGATAATCTGTTATTAATGTTGCAGTTTCACTCACCATTGTATCAATTTTGACCATAATTCTATAAAAGAAAACACCTCCCAAGAAAATTAGAATACTAATACATTAACCCTTACCTTAATTTCCCGCTTGAATTTCTCGACATTTTTTATGGTTGTGACTTCCTCTATCCCTACCAGGAGCACCATGGCATTGAATGTCAGATTCAGAAGGTTGCTATAATGGCAGTCATCTACATCATCATTCTGTGCAATGGTTATCAGCGTTATACTGAAAAAGCCAACACTGTATGCTTACACAAGATATCTTCCTCTCCCCTTGTTTTTAATAACCTGTTTTTGGTATACACTACTCTGGAGTGTTTTCTGTTACTGTTTTGATATCTACCATTAGACTCATTTTTAAAAACATTTTCCATGCATACTAATGAATGTAAGACTTTGATCCCTTGCTGTAGCCCCACCGTAATCCATGTGGCAAAATTTGAAAGAAAGAAAGAAAAACAACCTGAGTTTACCCTACACATTGGATACTTGCATAGTAAGGAAAGTAATGCCTAACCTTGGAGGGAAAATTTTAAGTTATTTCCAATACAAGTATACCGTATCATTTTTTATTGCCTATCTTTACTCCAACCTAGCTCCAAGGGCCAAGATTTGAACAAATATGTACATTTAAATGTAAAGATGCTTCCATTAAACTTGTATCTTAACTAAATGCCATTCTGCTTTCTTAACAAGTTAATAATATTTTTTTTCTCTTTATATTCCTATGACAAAATCTGAACATGATTTTAAAAAGATTCAACCTACTACGTACTATACACCTCATGTGCAATACTTTGAACATGTCCCTAGATATAATTCTTGGTAAAGCTAATCTCTTCTGTTCCAGACCCAACCTTGCCAAAATTTGAACAGATCTGATTTCTTACACATTAATTATAAAGATTTTTTAAATTATGTTTCAGTCAATTTTAGAAAAAAAAATTTTTACATGAAGATTTTTTCAAAAAATCTTCATAATCTCCTGAGAGCCTAACCCTTCATTTAAACAAACTTCATCTTACTTGAAATTTGAATCATTTTCATACAAGGGAATGTTTTGTGTCAAATTAAGCAGAAACTTAGTCAGTGTTACTGCATAGAAAATATCAAAGTACTGAGACAGTACTGAAAGACGGGGTCAAAAGATTTTTTTTTTACGAGTTTTGATAATTTTTTAAATTAACATACTAAAAACAAAACTGTGAATAATATAAATTCGCGTTTTTCATTTAACGAGGCTGGGGGGTGGCAGCCATTTTCAGACTATTTCGATCTCCTTTAAAAGAAGAGCTCCATATAAAGATATAAAAAATGATAAAATTTCAAAACTAAATGTAGGAATTTTTTCTTTGCCAAATAATAGATGACAGCTTAATATACCATATCTAAAAAAATAAGTTAATTCTGATGGTTAATTTTTGGTTTATTTGTTGACCCTCCAGCCTCCTTAATTTGAAGTACAAATTTCAATAATTGTTGAGTCTAGAAACCTTTTTGAACTGTCCGAATTTCACGTGGTCCGAATTAATATTTTTCTGGAAGTAAACAATGGAAGATGCGTACGCAGTCGTAATAATACACAGAAGAGTACTTTGTTTACTAGTGTGTTTTACAATTAATTTTGAATTTACATTTACAAAATACTTCATTAATTTGATTCAGAAAAAAGTTCATATCACTTTCTTCAGTTTGATAAAGAATGTTTATATTTTGATCTAAATTATTTCTGCACTCTTTGATATAACTCATTCTTCAATACTGGTGAATTTTTAAAATGTATTTCTTTTTTCCTTTATTTTCCAATAAATAAAGTGTAAGCAGATAGATTGATATTGATATGATTTGATACTTGTGTAAGGATATAGTATAAATAGTTTCATGGATATAAGTTAAGGAATAAAAAAAATATTGATCATTGTTGTATTGCATTTAGGGGGTTTCAGATGCAGAAAATGTGACATAATTTTCGAATAGGCATAAAGACGTTGTTTTATTTAAAAATAAAATCATTTGGCATGATATTTGTGTACATTATCTTAGCATATAAATGAAATAATATATTTATTTTGTCAAACATAATAAAATTATCTTAATTATTTTTTTCTGAACTTAAAAAATTGTGGTTTATGTTCGTAACGAATGGTGTCCATATGCATTGAACTTTTTAACACATCTCTACAAACATTAAATAATTTGTCAAGTTCAGTTTCTGTGTTTGATTAATGAGTATGTGTGATAAATTATTTTTAACAATATGCTTCATGAACATAACTCAGTTCTTTTTGTTATTTTAAAATGATCTCTGATTGTAAAATGTTTGGTGTCTTGACCGTTACGAACATAATAGCTTTTAGTATGATTGTTAAAATAACAGCCAATGAATCATAAGTTTGACTCAGAAAGTCCGTAGCAGTGGTGTAATTATAAATTAAAAACGAAAGTAGAAAGGTTGTGCAGCTGTCTGCTAAAAAACATGGCGATGCTCATTGTGTCCATGTGGAAAAAAAAAGTTACGAACATAATAGATTCGGTAAGTATTTTCATATTGTATCAATTTTAGTGAATGTTTAACACATAAATACAGTCATTGTATCTTTATACCATGTAGCTATTAGTCAGAAACTGAAATATGTCTCTTATGACCATACAAAATGCATAAATATGTCCGAGTTGAGTACTTTCGGTTTAACATTTGACTTTTGATTCGCGTCTTTTGTTACGAACATAAGTGTTTTTGCATTATTTGTATAATCTATTAATGATAAAGTTATATTGTACTATATCTTATTCTATATTTGTTAGTTTTTTTCTGCTCTTATCAAAGGATGAATACTTATTGAATATTTGTTTTAATATTGCCATATCATTTACGCAATTACGTTCGTCACGAAAACTTGAAGTAGTGACATAATTTGTACTTTAATTTTCTTTCTGATTTTATCAAGGATATATAATAAATATAATTAAACAGCATATGTGTTGATTACATCATGTTGTATTTTGTTTTATGTATATTTTTTTTCTTTCAGATTTACAAGAAATGACTGAATTATGTTCGTAACAATGACACAAAGATCCAAGACTCAAAATAGAAGACCTAGGATATTTAGTTATTCATCTGACAATTTACTTGTCTGCATTAATTCTCTTTGAAAGCTTGTCTATTATTAAGCTTTGAAATGAAATATTAAAAGTATTAAAGACAAGTGTTCGATTGTCTTGTTATTTTTTTGATCCTTTTTAAAGCTTGATTCGGAGTTAGGTGTCCATGTTACTTACATAATTTTTACTTTTTTGAAACTAGAAATAAAAATTGTGACTTTTTTAAAATAAATTCCATTTAATATAACATTAAACATGATTTCATCATACCTTATTGATTACATTATTTTCATATTTTAACAACTTGTTAAATTCTAGTAACATGTTACTTGTTTAGTGCTTATGTAAGTAATGTCCATTGGTAGTCTTGGATATATTTTCTAATTGTAATGGAATAAAGCAGAAATAAGTCATGCAAACTAGTGTTTATATACTTCAAAAAGAATTCACCAGAAAAGAATAGCTTATTGTTCTAAAAAACAGTCACTGTGGACACCAAGTTACGTACATAAAATTTCAGACATGCTTGTACATTTGGACACCTATCTCCTCTTTAAGACTTCAGATTATCTTCCCATCAATTTTTTTCAGAAGCAGGAAGGGTACTGACTCAATTAATATACATAAATTATGAAATTGATCATTTTAAAAAAATAGCCCTTTGGTCACACATCTGAACTCAGTACTGAAGAATGAGTTATATAGCGTAGATTTAATTCATGTGTTATCACCAGGGCTTCCTATTTGAGGGCTCTGATAGTAAACTAATAGACGGTGTCACCTGACCCCGTCTAAAAATGATGATGTGAATACTTAAGTCAGATGGACCAAACAACAGACAAAGGGATGACAAACTTTAATCTGAAAAACTCACTAGATTCCATTGTTTTGATAAGTTTAAAAACACCCTCTCCAAAAAAACCTTGCATGATAACTCTCAGATGACAGTTCAGTTATGTATTTTCTCTGTGAACTAGCAAACTTCCTCCTTTAAATTAGAGAGAGTGGGGTAGAATATGTTGAATGATTTTAATTTTTTTATTTTCTCTCTCTCAGAGAATTTTTTAAAATTTCCTACTGGCACTCACTACATTGCATAACACGAAAAAAATGACAAACATAATTTATGTATTGTCATGCATTCTACTGAGTTTTAATATATTTTTGAAAAACAATATTTATCCCATTAACTTAAATTCCATGTTTCTATAGAACATTGCAGCATTTCTATTCATAAAAAAAAATCAATTTTGAAATAGTTATCCTTAATATGTTCTTAAATCAACTAAACCTGATTCCTCACAATAATACTGAGTGTATCCCATCTGTTCTTCGAAAGAATATGTAAATTAAATAGTTATTAACATTCTGTCCAAATATGACCTGGGTATTATCGTTGCCCCTTCTTATGCATGAACACAACAATTTGAAAAAAAAAAAGAAAAGATTTTTTAAGTGATATGAATGACAGTATAGGCATTATGTTCTTCAGGAAAACAAGGTGCTCTCTATATATTGCAACTTTCAAACTATGACCCCTTTTGACCCCCCCTCCCTCAGCAAGGAGGATAGGTGGAGGGTCCTGATATGGACATTTTTTTTTATTCTCCAGTGTCACATGTTGACACTCTACTGTTGTGCTCCATCATAGCCCAGGGGTGGTGGTTTGGGGGTAGGGGGTTGAACAACTTGAATGAACACTGTATAAAAACCTTTCACAAGTTTTCTTATGCTCTTAAGAGGAACATTTTTAAATGACACTGCCATATTTTTTCTCGTGAAACAGCTTGCATGCTTGCATAAACATTTTTTTGCATACACATTTTCTAAATTGTTAAAAAACAAACAGGTTATTAATAAATTATTGTACGTAACAATACAGAATAGAACATTAGTCTACGTAAATACAAAAAAATCTATAATGTAGTCTGTTATCAGACTGTATATAAATACTGAGCAAAATTTACATTGAACTCCATAATTATTGATAAGCGAATATTACCATGAAAATAACATTTAGCAAATGTGATAGCTGTACGCTGAAAATGCTATCAATATTTCATAGAATTATATATTCATGGGTTTATCTAATGTTTTAAAGAATATAAATAATAACATGCATATCACCTATCATGAAAAACCTTCCAGATAATTTTGGCATCTTCTGTGGTAGTAGACTGCAGAGTCACATCATGTGAACTACCAAACATATGGACGCCATTTATTGAACCGATCACAGGGAAGGGCAACTAAAATGCAGAAAAATCAAGAATAATTAATTACAAACCTGATATATTTAAAGAACATTAAGGGTATCCACTCCTTGTCAAGGAAGGATAACTCTTCATTTAATTTATTATTTAATTCATAAATTAAGTCTTAAAATGAAGCTTGAAATTTTCATGCAAGAATTGTTTTATGCATCTCGATGTGATTCATGGTTCTTTGAAGTCTAAGAACAGTCTAATAAAAAGTTGAAATTTTTACCCCATTACAGTGTTTTTAAATGCAAAGTATTTAAAAAAAATTATATTTAAAGAAATCAAATTTCCTTTAATCTAGCCTTAGATTTCATTGTTTCATGTTTCTTTGCATTATATGAAATAAGAAATTATTTATAGTGTTTTGCAATGATAATAAAAAGTTTATACACTAGTGTATGCATTTTAAAATAAAACTGAAAATAATAGAAGAAACTAATTACCGAATAAGAATAGATATGCAATTTTCTTCAAATGCTTGGATACCTATAGGCTTTTTTTTAATGCCCCCATATTGAAAGATCCCAGGGATATAGTGTTTTGTCCTGCCTGTCTGTTTGTATGTTGTCAACTTTAACCTAGCCCATAACTATTGAGTGGGTGGGGCTATAGCTTTCATATTTTACAAGTGTATTCTTTGTGACAAGACCTTTCTCTGGGTACCACCAAATTTGAAGTCTTGACCTTGGAGTTTGACCTACTTTTACAAAGAAATACCACACTTTAACCTTGGCAACAACTTTTGAACAGTTGGGGCTAGCAAAAGTAATCATGGTAATATTTCAAAGATATCATGCTGATCTATGATCAACATTTGAAGACAATACTACAACAGACCTACTTTGGAGTTTTTATACATAATTGTTGAGGAAGACAGTGAGACGCATGAATATACAGTGTGCATAAACAATTCATCTTTATAATGCATGGATTTGTTTGCAACCTGACCAAGGCAATAATAAAGTACGTTATATATTACATATTTTAAAAATATCTGTATTATACATGCATATATATCTATAATGGTTTAGGTTGTGGACAATGGCCTGGGTAACTCAGCAGGTAGACTAGAACATCTAATTAGTGATGCAGGGGTACCAGGTTCATTTCCTACCATACATTTTCTCCTTTCCTGTTACAGATTTGGTGTCGTCATTACCAGGATGAATTTATATAGTTTTTGCCCCCCTGAAAACACATCACAATTGTGCTGTTTTTTCAGAGGGTCAAAAACTTATTTAGAACAGAGGAATGTAGTCTTTTAAGCTGGACAACAGGATATTGGACTGGATAGCTCAGTGGTTAGAGCAACTGCTAGAAATGCATGCAGTCCTGAGGAATTTATTAAGGAGAGGAATTCACAAAGTTATTTAGAACTTGTTTCCAATCCTTTTGATTGATATCAATAAACTATGTTCAAAACAAAACAACTGCTAGTAATGCAGGGGTCCAGGGTTCAATTTTCTGTCCAGCTATACATTTTTCTCTTGCTGATTTGATGCTGATGACCACCTTAGACTTGCAGGCAAAGACCTGCAAAGGGCAAATAAGAACTTGGGATGTGTCTTAGGATGCAATAATTTAAGGAGGGAGGGATATAATGGTTTTGACAATGGACATAATAGACTAGGTAGGTCAGTTGGTAGAGTACTTGACCACAGATTCAGGGGTCTCTATTATGACTGTAAGGTCCAATTCCCAGTCCAGCAATATATTTTCTCCTTACTTTTATTTATCATGTGAAACATTGTAGACGCACCAAAATCTATAATTCAGATGACATGTTCCGATGTAAATATTCAGCTTTGCATCGTCAGATGCACTTAATAATGTATATTTGTCAAATGAATGTAAGTAAATATTGAATTACATCCCCTTTTTTCTGCATGCTACTTTCACTTTCTGATTACCTCTCATAAAGAGTCAACTTAAAATCGTTGTTTAAAACTAATTTAGATTCACTTCATTTGCATCTATACTTTTACATATTATACCCACAGGCTTCAGATCATCTGCTGTCCTTGTGAACAAGGGCACTCCCCCCGCTGTCGTTAGACACACGAGATAGCAGGCCATTTCCAAACAAATCTTATATACGCATGCGCTTACTTACCACCTCGATTTGGATTGATCGTCGGTAAATAAGATATGGCGCTAGGGACCCGAAGAGCATCTGTCAAGAAATTGGAAGCCTTTTGGTGAGTTTTCGTGTATGTCACTCTTTACAAATTTAAACTTAAGTTTTCATGACTTTTTTCTTTCAAATTTCAAGCTGCGTTTTATTTTTCCCGGAAGTGATTTTCTGCATTCGACATCAATTGGTGGCACGTGCTTGACACTTTCAGAGTCACTCATTGTTTTGTTCTCGGACACATGTGCTTCTGTGCAGTGCATAGCTAACTGTTCATTAATGAACTTTGTCAATACACAATTTTTAATAATCTTCATTTAATGCATTTCTACTTTTATTTAAAAAAAAATGTTCGTAAAACATACTGTTAGCCAGTTTCGATTTGGTGACAAAGAGATTTCGCGCGTTGGATAGGTTAAATATATCGGGTTTGTATACTACGATGTACGTACGCTATTTAACACAAAGGAGCCGCAATATAACTACAATATCGATTTAGTAAGCGGCCGAGAACAAGACAAGTATATTTTATAGAATATGACAGAGTGGGTCTAAAGTTTTGCATTCAACTTGCGTTTTTATTGAAATAAATGACATCAAGAAATTATCGTATTATTGCATGTTTATCGATTTCGCTGGAAGTCGTGATATATTGGGACGTTTTGTCACATTTTGGATAGCTCTGATGTTCTTTGTTTAGTTTATTAGTCACTGTTTAATTTATGCAGAACAGCAGACAAAAGGGGTAAAAGACGACTGAAACCATTATGTGTGTAAAATTGTAATATTGATTAAGACTTAATGATGTGGAAGGGGGTTACGATTGGGGATGTATCCTCTTTTATTCATACATAATTACAGTTTGGAACAAAAGGTTCAAGATGAGAATGTAGGAGAAGAAAAAATAAAATCAAAGGTTATTTGAATCTAGGGAAAGAAATTGTTTAACAACATTGATATTGCATTTTAAAATATTTGAGAAGTTTGAAAATTTTGCAGTGTTTTTAAATTGAAGAGTGAAAGATTAAGTGAAGAGTGAAAGAATATATTATGTAGCTAAATTAAAAATGAATTGATATATCTAATATAATTAAATTTGAAACAAATATTTAAAATTTTTGCTTGTGCTAAAGCATGCAATATGCAGATTGCAAGTTTTAAATAATTAAATAAATGAGTTGCATTAAATCTTAAACTCCTCTCTCTGTGTGTGTCATAATTATAACTGTGCCTGAAATGCAGATAAAATTGTAACATATGATTGCATAATGTCCCCGTCCTTTTATGTCTCTTGCAACATGAATCTTTGCAGCTTTGAATAAAACTTTATTGATTTGCTGAGATTTGGAAGTTTGGTCCCATATATTCCATGCACATTACCCCTAGATGAGTTTTGCATACTTGAATGAGTTTAAATGGAAAATCAATGCGAAAACTTCCTTCAATTTGAAGTATGTTGTTTTTATTCCGTGCTGGTATATTATCTTTTATTGTCGCAAGTGTGCTTCAGAATTTATTTATGTATTTTTCAGCATCATTTTCTATCAAAGTTAAATGAAGTATGGCAGGCTTGATTAGAATTCAAATGTGTGAGCATAGATAAAAGGAAGTAGCGGCATCATAAACTTCTTCATGAATTTACTCATAAAAATCCTCTTGTATTTCATCTATAGCCAGAGATAACACAAAGCTTTTAAATGAATTGCTTTCTAGTGAAATGATATTTTTGACATACTATTGTTGCAATGGGAGATTAAACAATTTTATATCCCTTTTTCTGGGGCAACAATATTGTAATTTTAAATAAAAACAGTGTGGGTTTTCATTCTGTAGAAAGTAATCAAATTAACTTTAAGCAATATTATTATTGAAAGGCCCAGTAAAGGGAACATTACTTTTTGTTAGATAAAAGTGTTTTAGGAATGGTATTCTTTCTGCATATATAGAACTAAAAGAAAAATACTAATAAATGTATTTTTAAACTCTTAAGCAGATTAAGTAATTTGATTTTTAAAGTTGTTTTATGATTTGTGCAATATGCATGCAGCTCCAATTTGATTGTTCCACAGAACTCTTGTATTTTTTATGGTAATATTTTTAAGTAAACCGTCAGTGTATGTATGAAGAATTAAAATTAAAATTAATAAGAAAGAGGTCAAAAGGTCACAGAAATGTCAAATATATAGAATGTATTAGGTGTGAATGTCAACCTGTATGTAAATCTGTGGTGTACCTGTGGAAGTCACAAATCAAGTCTAACAAAGCTCCTTGATTAAAAGTTAAGCCTCTAATTTGAATGGGACCAAAGGGCAGTCCATTGTCCGCACTGAAAGATGTCCAGTTCAGATTGCAATTTAAAATTTAGGCTTTCAGCAAGGCAGGTATCACACCATGTCATTATTTATATGTTACTATGGTATTTCATTAAGCAACGGATGTTTACTTCATCTTTGACTGGTCGGGCTACTTGAGAGGGTAGTTATGCATGATACATATTCAATGCCATTGACTGTGGACACGGTCAAAGGGAGTGGAATTGTATGAAGATGACCGGCAGGTGCAAATTTGGAGACCCTTGCTGTTCGTAGACAATACCTACTAATGCTGACATGATCGCAGTCTTCTAGAAGTTTTTCTGTCTTATGTCTTGAGACATTTGGCCTCCTTGGTAACCCAGGTCCATTTATATCAGCACTCTTTTGTTGTGGGAACCTTCCAATGAAGTAATTACGAATGCATAAATCAGCATCGCATGAATTGATGACTGCAGCATACTATGTATCTAAAATCTTCAATTGGTCCATTTTCTAGCTTGGAGTTCTTTTGTTAGAAAGAAGCCTAGAGTGACAAGCTGGATATCTTATTGTTCAATTTGTTAAAATTGGGCCCTCCCCCATTTACTAGGAGACCTATAGGATATTGGTGGAGGAAAAGTCGCCAGATGGGCCCACTATTTTACTTAATAGAAAATGCTTAATGATCTTTTGTACAAGCTCTAGATAATGTCACCATCATTTGCAATTTCTGCTCCAAGTTTTGAATAAGTCTTGACACCTTATTAGTAGAATCCACCATTGTATCAAAATAATTTTCGACTCCTACATTTTATAAATTAGTTACACAAGAGTTAGCTTCCACCTTAATAACTAATCCTCAAAGATACAGCATCCTTGCTGAAGCCAGTAATGAAGATTGTGTATGATCATTTTGGAGAATTGTGTTGTGCAGTTTTTGATAAATTAGTGATACACGTCAGTTTACAAATGACACTGACACAAAAGACAATGATATGTCACAGACCCATGTCATTATGAAGAATGCATTCCAGAGGAAAAAGGTTCCGTAGAATGTGAGGAGTTGTGATGTAGGTAATGTATGGAATATATAAGATAAATCGTACAAATCAATACAGACTTATTGCTGCCACTGATTAAGGAGAAGAATACTTGAATCTGTATAGCTTATAACAGGGATTTATTTTGGGGGCATCAAATGCTCTATGCTGGTCATTGCATTTACTTATCTAAATGGAATCAAATTTTTTTTTTGTTTTGAAAAAAAATATAAATCACAGATGACAAAAATCATAGGAGGAAAGCATGGGAAGCAATATTAGTAAAATAAAGACCATGAATTAATTATTTGAATAAAACTTTTCATAATTAAAATGAAATCCAGTTCTTTTTTTCATAAATGGGTAGATAAAAAGGATATACAAGAATGGAATAATTAAAACAGTTTGTATGTGAGTAGATAAATTTGGTTTGGTTACTTTTATACGCATGACCATGTACATGTACAATTATGGGACAAGGAAGAGTTGATACTAAATACTTATGGGAATGATAAAACCTTATTTGTCTATAAAATAATGTTACAATTATTACGTGATGAGTATTGCATTAGTCACAGAGATTATCTACAGCTTGTTTATCTTCTGTGTTGGAAATCAATTTTGCAGTGCTCTTGTAAGGTTTTAATTACAACAAACCTTGGGGGTGACACATGATGAAAATCTTGCCGAAGGTGCTGGGAAGAGATACAGAGTAAATTGAGAACAGTTGATGATTTCATATTTACATACCTAGAATATACCAGGCCTAGAATTATTGACAGATATTGATAAATTATTCAGTTCCTTCTGCATTATACTTCACCACTGAAAAAAAAAATTATTTGGATGTCATGAAAACTAACATCGGCCATTACAAAACTGAGGCTTTCCTTGGCGTGTAAATATTTAAATTGTTTTTTTATATCAGTCTCTGACAACAGTGTTGTGTGAATTACAGTGAATATATCCCTTGTAACAAAGGGATAGAGAGCACAGAACATTATATTTATTGAATATGAATTCCTGTGGGTGCAATTTGCAAATTAACATTTAACCATCTGCTTTAATTTCATCAATTATTTGAAGGATAAAGTGTTAAAGTCAGGGGCATACATAATTATGTTATTTTTTCGTGATTTTTAATTCTAAATATTCTTTAGTATGGAACATTTAATATTTTTATAAATATAATTTTCGTCTATGAAATTCTTTTATAATTATTTTGATTGACAGTCTCTGACCAATCTCTTTAACATGCAGTAAAGTCTATCCTTTATATTGTTCACTTAATAAATCATATATACCACCTTTCATTACTGCTTAGAAGTTCACTATCATCTTCCATGAATGGAATCAGAGCAATTAAGTTTAAATATAGAAGACATGACTACTGGAGTATACTACGTTGTGCTCATTAACGTGAGAATCTAACCGCTGGAGGTGTTACATAACCATATTAATTCTATATACGTGTAAATCGGAAGGAAAATCAAACAATCTATTGCACTGCTAGGAGGGATAAAAAAAATCACTTCATTGACTGTTACTGTAGACATAACTTCTAGCTTTATGCATTTCTCAGCCACCTTCCTGTGTATTTTCTCACAGGTGCCTTGTTACGTTAGGAGAATAGACTCTTGAATTCCATCCACCATGATCATCACAAGATATATTTTCTATTTTTGATCTAGAAAGCTGTATATATCTTATGGCAGGTTCCCACTCATTGACCATAATTTATATCTTTCTAAACTGCATCGCAGCATGTACGAGTATATATCAGATGTTTTATTACGACTTTCAGAGGACATTTACTAATTTGACAATACAGTAAAACTTGGCTATTACAAAGTCACTGGGACATATGAAATTACTTTGCTATATCTGTAATTCATTATATACATATGGAATTTGTTAAATTTATATAGCTGGGGATCCAAGATAACTTTGTTATGTCCATGAATTCGCAATATCCATGTTTGCACTAAATGAGTTTTACTGTATTTGATGCATGCTTTTACAAATAAAGTGGATGATACAAGGCTTACATAGGTTATGCATATTTTCCTGCATCAGCTACAACATTAATTCCTGTACTAACAACCAAAGAAAGCATTTTATTTATATGAAGAGACCTTCATAAATGGACAAATCTTTCAAAGTTTAAGCCCATTGTTTTTTATGAATTTTCTTAAAGATTGCTACAATTTAAGATTTATATTTTATATTTTACCTATGAAATGAATTTTATTTTCTTGCATATATTTCAGATGAAGAGAAGTGCCATTCATGAAAGAACTCCAAGAATATTTTTATACATGTAAGTAAAAAAAAAAGAATTACTAGAATAATTAATCCAACTATACAAGTAAATAAATTTTGAAAAATAAAAAAGTTGAACTTAAGAATAAAATTAAGTTAGGTGACATGACAGATTTCAATATCTATCATTGAAAGTGTTCATATGTATAAACAAAGGTATCCTCAAATGCACACATTTGTTTGTAGTTTTGATGCCTTAGGCATTCAAAAATTTTGGTGCAAGGAAAACTTCCCGACTTCGTTTTTTAGAGCTGTTTGTATACATTGTTTAAAGATCTTGTTATGAATCTGAGATTATGAAAATTTCCATTTCTGCATAAGACTTCGTTTCCATAAGTGTTCTTAAAAACATCAATTTGGTGCATGTCAGCCATATTTTATTCGAGGTTTCACATAATCATTTTTCATTAATAATTGTACACATGTAATTCGACAAAAGGAATATTAGATGGAGACATTAAACCTTTCTTTGCCAATGGCTGTGTGGTAAGGAGGATACAATTTCAGGGACAGATGGGTAAAACTTATTTATCTGATTGTCCCGGCAAGTCGAGTTTTAACCGTAGAAATCACCAATGAAAGGAAACAATGTCAACCTATTCAATTTCATCATTCCCTACAATATTATCAAGAGTGCATTTACATTTCACAAAATGAAAACCCTAATGGCAGGGTATAATACATATTGAATAGGCAGATTTTATTAATCAATTATGAATAAGAGATTGTTTGTTGCAACACGAGTGTCCTCTGGGGACCTGAAATTACATATATATTAAAAGATGCCGAACATGAAATTGATTTGCTTAGAACATTCATTTACTTGCTTAATCGATACCACTTATTTTAACTTTGTCTTTTATGTGGAAAAATAATGCTGTAATTGAACAGAATTTCCGTACGAAAACGATCATGCAAGAGTTTATTTTCCTTTAAATCAAGTTGATTCTGTGTTTGCTGAAACTCAGGGTATATGAAATATATCTGAGACATATTGATTGTATTGTATTTAATGCCTTTGGAGTGCTCCTCTAATCAGTGACGTAGATTTCAGAATTACAATGTACACAATGCTCGGCAAACACATCACGACTGTGTCTTTCAAGAATTATCACATTTCCCTCACTGCTGATGATGAATATTTAATAATTTAGTTATTCACTGTTACGCAAAATCAAATTAAAGAGATACAAGAATTAGATGATTTTTTTTTGGTTCTATTGATCCAAGAAATAAAATAAGTTGCCTTGTACTGGTAAAGTATTCCTTTTTGACATGGGAAAGTCTTTGATGCAGAATGAAGGCTCAAATGGAAGTTTAAGGCAAGCTGCAATTAAATTAACACAAAATTAAAAGAGCAGGCATCCAGATTAATTAAGAGCTTGTATCAATCATGTCTAAATCAGCATCCTATTCAAATAGTGTTACACATGGACTTATATGTGCTTTAGAATTAAAGCATTTTTATATTTTTACACCACAGTTCTGAAAGGTTTTTGTTTAAAATTTGCTTATATCTTTAATAATATGATTAGAATTAAGTGTTTTTGTATTTTTTTAAATGTTTTAAATTCTTAAATAAAAAATTGATGATTTATTTCATAGAAAAATCTCCAATTATGCAAACTGTAATCATCATGCACATACACATCAAAGATGCTGCAAAAATTTAATTAGCTGTTTGTCAATGCCATATTTGAGGTTTAATCTATGATAAATTAGTATTGTTTGAATTTTAAATAATTCTGAAAAGGAAAGCATATACCCATGGTAACATATAAATAATAAACTTATGGGGACCAGCTGGAGGTATAAACGACAGGTGGTTGGTTGCAATCCAAGGACAGGTGAAAAACTTACCTTTGTGTCAAGCCAAGCATATTACAGTGTATGCTTCACTGCTCCGGTTGTCTTTTAAATTAACATTCAACCCGATTATCTACTGCTTTATCAAACTGTTATAGCATTTGTCTCAGAAGCTGCCTGCTATTCCCCTAGTCTAACCATTCTTCTGAGAGAACCATGCTAGTCAAAGTACATTTATTTTCTTAAAATAAGAAAACTTAATTAAGAAGAGGGATGAAATTTCTGCAGCAGAAAACTTTTTGTTTCAGGTAGGATAATTCTCTTGTGCCTTTTTCATGTAATGCATTTTTTTTAAAAGAATTTTGTATACTCATGATGAGACATAGTTTTTTTTCTCCCCATTTTTTTCTCCATTCTTCTTTTGGATGCCTTGTATTTGTAAAGGGGGAGAAAATCTCTTTACCATTGTTGTAAATTGAAAGAAATAGAGCTTAATTTCTTATTTTTAAAGCCTATATCTTTTTATTTACAACCCCTTTTGATAATGGAAAAGGAGAGCATGCTTGTTAAATCCGCAGAAGTCAATATTAGTTTATCATTGGGTATTGTAAGCGTTAAGTTTCAGTTATTTGAGTAGATATGTTGTAAGCTATTTCCTGTGCCACTGTCAACAAAGACTTAAAGTGTTTACCTATTGTATGTACATCCGGTGCCTACATAGCTTTATCTGGACAGAGAAAAACTTTTTCAAAAACAAGCATACGCGCAGCGATTGAAATATTAATTGGATAAGATTAACACAAGGTTCAAAAGGGGGGATTTTAAAATCGTTAAAAGTTATATTTAACCTTGAAGACAGGATAAGGCTAATTTTGGAAGAAAATATAATTGCTTTGATAGTTCATAAAATTTTGGTAATGTGTAAATAAAGAATAAAGGCTTAATTGAAAAGAATCTTCAAAGTTCTTTTCTGTAAAAAAAGGTTATCATGCATTGTGCCGCAATCTCCTATTTTTATGGCTAAACTTCTGTGAATAAATTCATGTGAAGGAGGAAATGCCAATATAAAACTAATCAAATCCCCCTAAACTTCCCTCCCATTTACCTGAGCATAGGTAGTTTGTGTATGTATTAATAGATCTAGATTTAAACTATCTCTGGGTGCGTCACTACTCAGGCCAGAGCTGCACCTTAAAATGCATTTATCAGTGATTTTACCATGATCAAGTTCTGTTTTACATTCGTAAACTCATAAATCATGCACTTCTTTAAAGATACCAGGTAAATAACTAAACAAAAATCAATGAGATTATCTTGGAGTTTTTTTTTCTTTTTGTTAAATGTTAGAGTTGATGAGAATGAAAAACATTTACAACATTATCTTTAATGACAACACAGAGAAATAAAAGGCTGAATGAAATCCCAGCAGATGGCAGTAGATATTCTTGGACAGGGGGACATGTGGAATGTTTTAGGTAGTATCATTAATCAAAAAGTCAACTTCCTTTGTTTAACATTACATATTAGCATATTGTGCTGGTGGTTTTTTGAACTTTTTATGTCTTGTCAAAATTATGTTTTTTTTTTGGTGTTTTTTTTCATTATTCTGATTTTGTCAAGGACAAAAGGTATGTAATTATAATTTTTTTAGGCAAATAGTTTACATGGGATTTATGTTGGTTTTTTTTAAATTGATTATTTTAAAAAATTATGAAATAAATTTTAAATACAATTTAAAGATGAAATGATGTGCATGCATACACTTGGTTATTTTATTTTATTAGTTTAACATTCTGAGTGCATATTCATAGGTGTGATAGTAAATTTATTTAAAATTTCTCCAATGTTGAATTGCACCAAGATGAATGTATTTTAATACAGGGGATTCTCCTTAATTGCACATTACAATTCAGTTGTTTTACAGAAGTCAAGATCTATTGCATATTGAAAAAGCTTCTGCTCTGAATTATGCAAGAATTTGATGAAATTTGTTGGGTTTTAAGTGACAGACTTGCATCTGATCAGTAGAAACAATTAAAGATGGGTAATAAATCAAATAATTGAACTGATCATTAAAACTTGCCAAAAATATCCTTACAGTTCTTTCAACATTTCATACAGAGAAAAAAAAATTTTAAGACATTTTGTTTTCAAGAAAAATCAATTTATCAAATGATTTTCATTTATTTTTAAATACTATGCTGCGATTGTCAAAATTTTCCCACCATCTAACGAATTCTAATGTAAACATTGAATGCAAGCTTTTTTGGAGTGTAAGTCATGTTTAATTTAAAATCGGGGGATGCTTGAGGCAAAACTGATAAAGTGTAGATTCTGGGTTAAACTGCTTGTTCCCTCCTTGTGTTAGTGACAGTGAGGGAAGAAGTGGTCAGACGGTGAAAAGTCAGTCTTTATTATCATGTTAAACAGAAAGGAGAAAATGTCCCCTCTACCATAGATAACAAAAGATAAGTGGACAAAGTCAGTACAATGCCGTTTTTGTGGTGCCATTGTTGAGGTTTTATTTTGAGGGGAGGGGCAATAGGAATAAGTGACCTTTCATACTAGACAGTAGAGAAAATGGAGGGAAATGAAATAAGGCAGGGGTAAAAATCAAATCGGTGAACTAGAATGGTCTATTAGGTTTAAGTGACCAACAATGGGGATGATGTAACTCTGGTCATTCTCTCTGCATCACTGCTAGTTGATTTGTCAATCTTGTGGTCATCTTGTGGTCAAGGAAGAAGGGCAAAAGTTCAGGAGGGGTTTAACACTGCCCAGCAGTAGCCAATGACAGGAGATAGGTTGTAGATAATAAGGATCTAGGGGTTGCCAGCATCTTCTGCCACCAGCTGGTGCTTACTGACCCCAGGTGTTAATTAACTGCTATCACAAGCCTTAGTGTACTTGACCTTCTTCAATTGATATATTATATTTTAAATAAGATTTATGTCAAGAATGCCTCTGATATAATGATTGTATGAAGAAGGAAAAAGAAAAAGTAATTCTTGAAGGAATTGGTGAATTGAAAACTTTTGAACTAAAAGGTCAACAAATATTTTCTTTCTTATTATTTTTTATTAGAAGAAATTAATTAATGAGCAAATTGCTTGTCCTTTGTGTAAAGTATAAATGGATGAAATCATTAATTTAGTGTAGAAATTGTTTTTTTCTCCTGCCTGTCACATTGTT